CGGGAGTTTCGTTAGAAACTAATTGACCGCGGTGAAATCATGAATATGAGGAAATCGGCCCAACTTGCAAGGTGAAGTCTCCTGTTTCCATTTTTACGCGGAAAAGGGAACTCATAGAAACAGTGTACTTTTCCGGAAGTTATCCTTGAGCGGATAAACGTTAAACGGAAATTGGCGTTTCATTTATCATTGGAGGGAAAGGTGAACGTGATGGTATATGGCCACTTTTTAAAAATTAATGACAACCTTAATCCCTATGAACATGCCAACTTAAAACAAAGAAATTATCAACGCTATTCAAAACGTAATATTAATTCGTAAAATGCCATCAAAATCATTAAGAGTCAATTTCATTGACAAATGTCGCTAAACAAATAATTAGTGAAATGTTCTAAAATTTGCGTCATTTTAAATTTGGACTCAGTGAAAGAAATGCCACTAGAAACCACTCACTTACTGCCTGGCGTCAGATAAAGCCTTTGAATGATTTTTCATTGCTTTAAACTGACAAGTAGGAAAACGAGTTGATTGTTTTGCTACACCAGTTTTCAAAAATTCAAGTATACATATATGTCACACATACATGTCACATTAGTTTTCCTGGGATCCGGACCTAAGTACGAGTCGAGCTGTTCTGGGTGACACTGCATGTTTCGGGGTTACAGGGTGTTAACATGATCTCTTACCCAGATCTCACTGGCTTCTGTCCTTAGGGTGACCAATCTGGGTACGAGATTAGGTTTTCCTGATACCTACGACTGCATATTCACAATAGTTGTGACCAGAATGGGTGATGCTCGATATACCAAGTCAATATTAAAATGCTTTGTTGTGTCGATCTATTATGTAAAGTTTATTAGAGGAATACAGATCATTGTTGGTGACGTAACTCGACTACTTGCGATTCACTTCAGGGTTGTCATTAAGAGCCGCGGGCCAGGGATTTTCCCCTGCTACTAAGAGAGTGGCCCACGGCTACTTTTATTGGAAAATAGAACAAAAATAGAACCAAAAGAAATCCCTAGCCGTTTGATTCCTCGCCTACTTGTTGTATTTACCCGGCAACTTGAAATCTTGGTGACAACCCTGTCACTTGGTATATGATGCGCCAGCCACTAGTCAGAATGGATACCCCAAAATTATCTTCACTCAAAATACAGGAAAAAATTCTTATAACGTACACTAGTGAATAAATAATTAATTCTGATTTGAAAGCTAACCGTTTTTAAAAGAGCGCTCAACCCTTATCACAGTACTTCGGTGCTAACTGTCGGCTCCCTGCACAATTTTCTCTCTCTCTTTTCTTAAAAAATTGCCCAATGAATTCTCATAAAGGGTTCTCTACGAGGAGTATTGCTTTCTGTAATAAACATGAGGTGTCCAAACTGCTTTTATGGACTTATGGTCAGTCCGTTCTAGTCACGAACTTAGGCCACTTGGATAATGACATCATCTTACTAAAACTGCGAGAAAACGCTTTCTTGTCATAATCTTTCTTATGCAAATTACGGTCTTTGTTATTCAAACCTCACTGGGATTTACCCCAAATTTAAATAATAATATGAAAGAGAAAATGAAATGAATTCTTATAGCAGAAGTAAAAGCTGCAAATGGCCTACTGAAAAGCATCGAATGCCATCTAAATGTAAAATCAGTTCTTAACAAAAACTCAGATCGAGTCATCAAGGATCCGCGTTTACCTGACTACATTACACCTTTAGTGCTCGTCAACGGAGTTTAGCCAGTGTTTAAATTAACAACGTCACGCTCTAAACACTTTCAATTTTGCCATCCTTTACCTTATTATGATTTTTTATCGTATGAATGATAAAGCAAAACTTAAACCGTATAAACACTGCTGATCATGACAGTGGACATAGAGTGTAAACTAGAAGAGCATTGATAAATAAAGGAAGATCAGTGGTATTCTGCTTAAGATAACTTATTTATAAACTGATATGGAGTTCCATGTATTGTCTTAAACGGAGCCCTATAAGTTAGATTTCCATAACCAACCTTTAAGTTGACGAATAAATTTCGATTGAAGACAAGTCGTGCTAGGGTATTTTCGTGCGTTGCCGTGCGACACGACAGTATTACCGTGCCGAGATCAATTCAGAATTTAACTATACATTAGAGTTGATTTTCTAAGTTGGCTAAACTGTTTTTCATGTTTTCAGCAACTGTTATTTCATTCGGCTGAATCAGTGAACTCCACTTTTGAAACCAGGTCGTGCTACTGTCGAACCAGCTTAGCAGCTGTTGAAAAGGGCATTAGAGTTCGCCGTCTTTATCCGTCTTTATAAGTGGACGTAAATCTTTCACTAAAAAATGAAACACTCGGTAACCCAAATCTTGATACAACTCGAGCCGAAAATGATTTATTGTACATGGCTGCGGCATATTATTTCACCCTGGACACCCTTGAATCACTAGAATCGTTTCGCCGCTTTGTATTGCAGGCTGTCTATTATTGTCGTCCAGCTCTTATTTTCTTAGCAAAATGTTGTTCCGTTTCACTTATTATTAAGACACCGCGCACAAAACACCTCACAACTCAACAACATAAAGTAAAAGTAATAGCAAAAACTAACCACTGTACTTACAGAGTAACAAACGCGTTAGGTATTAATGTCATCTTAACCATGCGGAATTTTAGTCACCAATGATTGATCAGACTCTTACGCACCGTTTTCGCTCCTGCAGTCACATAGGCCACATAATACTGAAAGCGGAAGTCTTAAAAAGCGGACTTGAGGATAATTCCATGCGCGCAACGCAAGTAAACTGAAAACAATGGCCCTTGCCTGTTGTGACTCACGCTTTGACTACCTTCATGTACCTTGAGACTCGACAACGACAAATTATTGAGGCAAGAGTAAGATTAATAACCGAGTGAGGAAAAATTAGAGACTGAGCCAAACAAAATATTGAAAAAGAATGTAATACTAAGCACTTGAACACAAGATCTATCCGGAAATGAATGCTGATCCATGAGACACACGATCCTAAGAGATATAGGAATCTGGTCGTTTAAAATTTGTTTAATGGGGCTGGCAGCTCTTTCGTCTTAGAAATCATTCAAAAACGTGAATTTGAACCACCTCCCAACTTAACATCTGATTACTTTGTGTAATAAATTCAACCAGGATGTGTAGCAGAGTTTTATACTACATAAATAAAATAAATAATGATTTGGAGGTAGCACATCCACAAAGTGGTTCTTCGTCTACCTGATTATTGGTCGAATTGGAATTGGGAAATGTTGGTTTTTGAGGAGAGGGGAAAACCGGAGTACCCGGAGAAAAACCTCTCGGAGCAAGGAAGAGAACCAACAACAAACTTAACCTACGTATGGCGTCGACCCCAGGATTTAAACCCAGGCCACACTGGTGGGAGGCGAGCGCTCTCACCACTGCGCCATCGCTTGCTATATCATTTAAGAAGATCAGTAAGTACTTATTACAATCTTATCTCATTGTTCTTCGCCATAGGAGAGGTTTGTTGTAAAGCGTAGTACAGGTATATAAAACACTACTGGGGAAATCAAAATGACCCTCACTCCCCTCCCCCTTTCCCCCTAACGACCTATGAAAAAGGCTCCCGGATCCGTAGTACGGTGAGGAGAGGGATACGTAAGCCTTCTTTTCAGCCTAGCTATCAAAAGAGAGCATGTTCAAGGACCAAAATTTCGTCTACTTTGTTAAATACAAGGCTTGAAACAATTGAAAGAATTACATGTCATTGTTTTCTACGACCATTATATCAGGAGAGACCTTACGAGCAGCTCCTACACAACTGGATCTTTCCCACTCGAAGAGCACGTTTTCAAATAATATTTAATGCCATAACGAAAGATACTTTTTGCTATAAGTACCATCAGTGCGACTACTCGCACCGGGGCACTTGAAAAAGATTGTCCAATAACAACGATTTCTGGAAAACGGACCAATACATTCACAAAAGTTGAAAGCTGTTTCCCGAGAGGTCAGGTAAGTTGGAACGATTTTAAAGTTTTAAACGGTTGCATAATTGTATTTTGAATTTTCTTGGTCCGTTCGCCAAAAAAATAACTTGAGAATCTTTTCTTTTCAGAAATCGTTGTGACTGGACAATCTTCTTCCAAGTGCCCCGTTCGAGTAGTGGCACTGTAAGCATACTGATGACTTCTGTGATGCTGTCAATGTTAAACCAACCTTGAACAGGAATATGGCCCCGTGGTCCAATTGAGAAGGCGTGTGACTACGGTACCAGGCTTGTGTCTTGTGGGGTTGCTTTTTTGTTGTGGTGGTGGACATAAGGGAAGCTTTGGGTCTGCGCTATCTAGGCTTTGACAGTTTGTGCTGGCATAATTTTTGGCGTAAGTCGTTATTACGAGCACAATTTTCATCTATTTTCCAAACAAAGCACTGCTAGCATAATTTGCACTTTTGGCTAGATTTGCAGCACAAAATTGTCATTTATTGATCACTCATGCAACCAAGTTTTCGGGCCCGGGATCAGTGTTAACAGGCAAATTTAGGTAACAAAATCAATTTTTTGTCTGCTTATGGTCACATTCGTGCATTGGACCTGGGTCGCCGGCACAAAAAGTGACCTGGCACTATTTCCACCGAACTTAACGCATGTACATAACTAGCTTGGTTAGCTGAGATAATGTCCGCATGCTGGTTAATCATGGCTTGAGTTTTTATAGTTGTCCGACAAGGTTTTGTGCACTCTTAATTCCTAGATGTAAATAGCGTAAATGCGTTTGTCATTTACTTGTTTTTTGCATGATTGAGGTGTTTTTACCAGGTTTTCAGTAAAAACATTGACTAGAAGCATAATTTCTGCACTTTTAGCTAAAATGAGCATAATTTACAAAAACTAGCATATTTTTAGCATCTATATATTATGCTACTTTTGCGAGCACAATCTATCAAAGCCTAGCTCTATGAGACTAAAAATAGCAAGAAGGGGACATTTTAAAAAGTCAACAAATTTATTTACTAAATACTATTAATTTCACCGGCATGTTCTAAAATGGAAAGTCAAGACCCAAGTACAAACGGTCAAGGGTAGTCGAAAGTTTTCTTAGCATTAGTATTTTGGCTGTTTCAGAGCCATTCCAGCAAGATATTCTCTCTATAACCTTAAACCTCACTGAAATACATAACGCTGAAACGGCCAAGAAAACCAAGATAACAAACAACACAAAAAAGCGTTCTTAGTAAGATTTACGACATCCAACAACGATTTTCACTCGTTAGTTTAGTGTACCTGTGGCACTATTTCACAAAAATTTTATAAAACTCACATTCAAAATATTCCACAGGCAAAACCCTATTATAATGTGAGATTTTTGTCCGCGTGGAAGGCGATTAAAGGAAACGGGGAGGTGGGAAATTAAGGCAAGCAAGAACGTGACATTCGCCCGAGAAAGGAGGTGCGGCCTTAGTGTATTCGCGCGCCTTGATTCCCTCCTCCCTTCGCACTCAAATGCCCATCAGGCAGGCTGGTGAATTTTGCTTGCTGAGAAAGCATTACTTAACATCATCTTGAACAAACGAGATTTGTAAATGGCGTATGCATATTAGTCTGTAGAAAGTAATTTTCTGATTAAGAAGATACTACTCACTACAAAAAAAATAAATGATCACACATTCCTAAGCACTTCAAGAACTATCCAATCAAGAACCGTCCAATCCAATCTGTATAATTCTTTTGTACCAACAAATTTTTGAAAGGTACGCCGTGAGCTTCCAGAACTTATCTGGATCCCCTTTCTCATCAGTGACGTTTGCTGTTACAGTACTTCAGTCAGTCTCGTTTTGATGAGGCCGCAAAATTCATGCTCGGTGAACGAGAATGAACTTTGATCAGGGCTCGTACCACCTTCCCCCAATTTATGCCGGAACAATTTTGCAGCCTAATGAAAACGGGAAAACGAATAACAGTAGATGTCACTGATGAAGTGATCCGGATGGGTTTCGAAAGCTCTGCGTAACCTTCCAGAATCTGTTGGCATTAAAGTATATTTGTTTTCATTGCAATACTTGTAAAATACCTTTTGGGGTGTTGAATATTTGCCTGCAGTTTCAAATAAGCATGGAAAAGGTGTGGATAACAATGGACGCCCGTTGTTCAAGAGGGTTACAGGTAAGGGAAAACGCGCACAAACCAAACATTTATTCTTATTTCGATTCAGAATCGATATTATCAGTGGAATACCTTCTCTTGCTTAACTTGTAATGCTCCCAATTAGAGAATTCCGTGGGTAGATCATTATATGAATTTGGCGATGTTAGGGAATATATATGAATGAATAAATGATCACACATTCCTAAGCACTTCAAAAGTCAACTCTCTCTAAAAGGAGACTGTTGGGACGAGGGGCCCGTTTCTCCACATTCCCAGTAACCTTTCTGGAGCCCGTTTCTCGAAAGGCCGGTAAACCTTTTGGGGTCAGAATGCTAATTTTACAAATCAAAACCTGGTGAATAGTACGACATTTCCTAGCTCACAAATCGGTCAATCTTACTTCATGAACTTATAATTTCATTGAATCATTTGCAAAATTATTGAAACTTTGATCTTGAATGCAAACACGACAAACATAAAACAGCTTTTCGGGCCCGAATGGTTATCGGGACCTTCGAGAAACGGGCCTCAGTCCCGAAATCAAATATTCCCAGTCCATTTTGTTTCGTTACCTGGTAGTTTTTTTGTCATAACATCTGCGAAACTATTGAACCTCGATCTTGAATATAAACATCAACAGCTTTCCGGACCCATTGATCATCGGGACTTTCCAGAAACGGGCCCCAGCCAGTAAGAAAAAGATTCCAAACCAGGAGCGGCCGAGAAACGGGGCCCAGCTCAGCACTAAGTATTCACCTTAAAGTGGTCTCCACTTAATAGAGTCAAAGAAAGGAATTTAGCCTCCGTGGCGGTGAATGAAAGGAAAGGGATGTTTGAATCAAGAGTTCAGTATAGGGGTCACTTCGTTCCATGCTCAGATCGTTCCAAGCCAGATGGTTCGATTTTATAGTCAGATCATTTCACAGTTTCAGTGTAAAACGCGCGTGTGAAGCGCGCTTTGTTTTTGACTTCTTAGCTTAAAGTGCGAGGTATACACATGAGTAACGCCCATGTTTTGCTCCTAGTTTAAAAAGTCGTGAAAACTTCTGACTATGTTGTGGAACGAATTGACTATTAAGTGGAACGATCTGATCATGGAACGAAGTGACCGGATAGCGAATTAAGCCACCCGAACGCATGAAAGGTCACCTGCGTAGCAAGCGTTTCCGTGCGGTTCAGAAGCAAAGAACGAGGAACGAGAGTCAAAGACCGCGCGAAAAATGGCGCAAGTAAAAGAGCAGGGAGGGGGTGGGGAAGAAAGGAAGGAAACCTTCCTTCCCCTCTCCCTCCCCCTACTTTCATTGTTTGGCTCTTGTTTCATTTCTCGCGCGGCCAAAACCGAGAATCCCGTTCCTCGGTCTTTCTTTGCTCCGAAACCAAATGGAAACGCTTGCTACGCAGGCTACATGAAAGGAACCCCTCATTCCTCGCAAGTCCATAGCTTTCTCGCACGCCTACATTCACTCTTTTCCTTCCACTTCAAATTCCTGCCATAAAACTGAGCTGAAGACTACAGGAAGGCAGGGAACTAATACTTTTGGTGTTCGTTTCAGGGTGCCTGTCTCACAAAAGCACTTATCTCCTTGACCTACATAATTCCAGCCCTAAGAGTCAGTGCAAGTACGAACAGATGTAAAGCAAATTTTTTGTTGAACTGTAATGAGTACGTAACAGGTTATAGTGCATGATTTAGCAAATTTGAAAAACAAGCCGCTACATCCTGTGTTTTGTTCTATAAACACCTAATGGTTACATACACGGTAAATTGAATGGTAAAATTAATACTATGAACCTAGGTGAAGAAGATTACTTCTACGCTGTTGGAAGCCAACAACAATTAATTATACCAAGCTAACAAAATTTTTGTTCTGCTGCTGAAAAGTTAGACTCTCACGCTCACGTTCATCTGTGTGGGAGGCTACTTAACTAACGTGAACAGTACTGTATGTTGCAGTTCACTCTTCGTCGTAGTCTTTGACAACTCTCTGCGCTTGTCGCACATACTGCTGCTGTTTGTAATAGATCCTGATGACCCCTTTTACTGCCACAAAGCTGATGCCTCCCTGGAACAACAACAAGACACTGTTCAAGAGTGCAGTAAAGCTGCAACTTTAAAGCAAGAGATGGAGACAACATTCTTTTCCCAACGTGTACAATGAGACGTTAACATTAACTGTACAGCCCTTAACAGGGGTGTAAGCAGGCGTTTGTTCCATAATGGGTCCTAGGCCAGCATCTATGAGACGCTCCACCCCCAGCCCCAACCCCTTAATCCAACTTGAAAAAGTTTGATCCTTTTCAATGTATGTCGTTTTTTTTTTTACTGATAGACAGGTTATTTCATTACTATCTGCTACTCTCTCTAATAAAACCTGTGGGAAGCTTATTTTTCCAGCCATTTGAGGGCTGTACTTATTTTTTGTCATGATCTTTATCATTTAACAAACGAAGCCACTGTCAAGCAGAAATGCAATTTTTGAATACCTTTTTATGACCGTGCACTGGAAGTAAACATTGTTATTCCAAAGTTTTTTGCATATATTAATAATTATATGTTCAGTCGACTCCCGATAACTCGAACCTTCAAGGGAAATCGAAAATTCGAGTTATCGGGAGCTTGAAGAAAATAGCCGAGAGTAAGGTAAAAAACAGTTTTTACTGCACAGTGAACATTTTAATCTTATTTACTTGTAGAAATGCAAGTGAAAATTAAAAGATACTTGTAGATTATAAATCAGAACGTAACGTAACAAAACATAGCCGAAATAGAGCATGCGTTTTACTGTTTTGAGAAGTAAAGCTGCTTCACGTTAGCCTGTGACCATCAACATTAGCCTATACTCCCACAACACGTCAATAGGAAATCCAAAATTCTGTTTCGGACGCCAGAGGACGGCTTTTTCCCCGACTTTTTAAGGGCTCAAAACATGGTTCGAGTTATTGAGGGTAAAATTATATAGGAAATGACCGGAGGGGAAACGAAAATTGGTTCGAGTTAGCGGGAGTTCGAGTTATCGGGGGTTCGAGTTACCGAGGGTAAAATTACAGTGAATGTATGACGGAAATCCAGGGGAAATCGATTTTGGTTCGAGTTAGCGCGAGGTTCGAGTTAATGAGGGTTCGAGTTACCGGGAGTCGACTGTACTTCCACCTTGAAATGTACATTGTGTGGAATTAACATGCAAAAGGCATACAACAGTAAAATTCTGTAATACTGACGAAGCAATGCATAAATAGCACATTGACACATTTTGGCTATAAACTAATAACATGGCCATAAAGTAGTGATAATAGTTTTAGTAAGTGATTATACAAAGCAGTTACCTACCGACAAGGCTCGATGGAGATTTGAATGTACATAGCCAAAACATACTTTGCCAATAAGTGTAGAGATTGTTGGTAGTATCAATTAATCAATTAAATATGTGTACTTTCACCTCAAAATGTAAATCGTGTGGCATTAACATGATGAAGGCATACAACAGTAAAATTCTGTCCATAAAGTAGTGATAATAGTTTTAGTAAGTGATTATACAAAGCAGTTACCTACCGACAAGGCTCGATGGAGATTTGAATGTACATAGCCAAAACATACTTTGCCAATAAGTGTAGAGATTGTTGGTAGTATCAATTAATCAATTAAATATGTGTACTTTCACCTCAAAATGTAAATCGTGTGGCATTAACATGCTGAAGGCATACAACAGTAAAATTCTGTTATACTGACAAAGCAATGCATAAATAAGCACATTGACAGTTTTTGGCTATAAACTAATAACATGGCCACACAGTAGTGATAATAGTTTTAGTACGGGACGGACCATTAGAAAACTTATGCATGGGGCAGGCAAAGTACCAAAAAGTATTCACGCAAGAGAAAATTAAAGGACAAAAAAATTCATGCCCGCCAATTAACCCTAAAAATATTCATGGTATGGCCTCAAAAAAAAATTCATACAAAGAATTTGATAACAAAAAAAATTCCTGTAGCTCGAAAATTCCCCACCACCCCCCCCATAACTTTTCTAATGGTCCGTCCCTAAGTGATTAGACAAAGCAGTTACCTACCAACAAGGCTCGATGAAGGCTTGAATGTACATAGCCAAAACATACTTTCCCAATAAGTGTGGAAATTGTTGGTAGTATCAATGCTCCACAGAGTAGTCTGGTGAGAGAGACTGGGTCCGACAGTGGCGTGGGCTCAGCAGGTGTGCGTGTGGCCAAACCAGATGTCAAATGCGGAAGAATATAGCTAAGGAATGACATCTTACTGACATGACGCCTCCACAACCTTAACACATGATCCTCCCAGCGAACCATTTTTCCAAGTATAAGTGCCAAAGGAATGGTGGGAAGTCCAACAAATAAAAACATGGGGTCAGCCCTCTCCATGACCTCCAGTCCTTCTTTGTGACCCAAAACTTGCATGACTGTTACAGCTCCGTAAGTGACGGCAGACCAATATAGTGAGCCCACAACAACTCCCGCTGCAGCAATAGGGCAGACCTTGTTGATTAGCTTGTCTAAGACCTCCACAGTTTGTAGTAATGGTCCCAAAGAGGGAAAGACAATAATATATTCCGTATTGCACTGCGGACAGGAAACTTTAGTGGTAGAGCTCCCAGCTTGTTTTTCATCGATCCAGCGCTGCAGACATATCTGGTGAACCCATTTTGTTGTTCCACGACAGCGGCAAGGCTTTACCCACTGTGACCAAGGTTCATCTTCATCAGTAGCAAAACAAACCCAACAGCGTCTGGGAAATAATGATAACATACAACATTTTCATACAAGGTTGAAACCGTCTGTAAGCAACCACCCAAAAAGAAAAAAGGTTTAGTGGTAGCTAATTATGGGAGGTGGTCGTTAAAATTCGAATCAGTATAAGATTCTGGAAAACTGGCCTCCCATATGTACCCCTTCCGTTAAGATACCCAACATTTTGCCCTATATGAGAGCTTAAAATACAAACATTGCGTTAGGGGAATGGAGAGAGAGGGGAAGATGGTAGGTTCCGAGAATCTTATACCAATCCATTTTAACTACAAAAAATAAGACAGTAATAATTTGGTGCAATGAGTTTGATACGTTGGATAGACAATTGTTACAGCAGTTGTAAAGTGAATGGTGGTCCCTTTCTCAAAGTTGTTGCTCGGGGAGGTTAGACTGTAATGTATTCACAAGTTTTTGGCTCTCAAAGGATTCAAAGATCTGAATAAACAAGGTAATTTCCATGCAAAATTTTTTAAAAAAGCCATGCTCCTTAGGATGGAAGTCACGGAAGATACCAATATTCTATCTGAATACAGTGGAGGTCCACAGTTTGGCACCTTTCCACTGATATTAGTAAAACTAGCAACTTCTCCCTCCCCAGCCCAAACAAAATGGATGGAAATGAGTCCTTTTTGGCCACAACGTTGCTGGGAGGAGTGGGGAGACAAAGGGACGAACCCAAAGCTGATCAAAAAATTGTCATTAGGAGCCTAATGAGTCCTACATAACAATATTACTTGGAAGGTGTTTTTTTTTGTTTTTTACACAGTCTCAAGTTCTTTTAACCTCCATTCAAGTCACTTCACTGTTCAGTGTTAACCAAAGTCCCCCATGGGTAATAGTTGCCAAATGCCCACTCATGAGTTCATTTCTTGTTCAAAAAGTAACAATTTTGCTCTTTCTAAGGTACAACGATTTTCGATTCCTTGCCAATTAATGGAGAATATTCCTATACAATACTGTAAACAGTCTGGGAAAACCAGAAAAAGAAGAATCACAGTACTTCAAAGTTCAAGTAGTCAAAAGCATCATCTTTCATAGGCAAAGCTTCCATAATCTTAATTAAATTGTACTATTACTATCATTCACATTTTCGGGGGAGGAGAGGATTAGATCAATGTGATTTCATCACCACTGCAATAAACACTACAGAGACAGAAACAAGTGCACCCATTACAGACTTGCCTCACGCCCTATACTATAAAAGTTGCTATACAAGTTAATTTATTACATCTTTGGGACCAAGGGAACTATCCATGTATAGGGCTCTGAGAAACACTTTACAGTTACCCTATGGAGCAGTTTTTGGAATTTTCAAAGGGAGGATGGTCTTAATGGCCAAAGAATGAAAAGGGGAGTATTATGAAACCAACAGAAAATCCAGAGAGGTGGGGTGGGGTTCAAGCCAATAAACTGCCCATCGGGAGGTGTGGTTATTTTCTGGAGCAACACATTAGATAAGTCTCAGAAGTACAGAGCTGTTCACTGAAGAGTTTCATCGGTAACACAAACTAATAAAGAAGTTGTGGTACCTAAAATTATTGAGTACAGTGTGATAAACAGGACACAGAAAGGTAGGTTATGAGCAATTTCTCAGTTTTATGGTACAATGAAGATCATGCAACAGACTGATCGACAAAGAAAATGAATTCAGAATTCACTTTGTTCTACACAAGAGGGAACCTATTTGCAGTCATCATTACATCAATCCTTCTCTGTTTGATCTACGTACAGTGTGTGTACCATCTACATGTTAAAATAAATTTATCTATTAGTGTGCATATTTCATCTACACACACTGAAGTTGCTGGTAAGATAAAATTCAGCTCTATACAAAAAAAATATCAAAATTGATTCGCGGCAGAGAGACATTCATAGTTTCTACTCCACACATTTTAGCTTGAGTAACAGATGATTTTAACCACTACAACCTAAGATACAAAAACAAACATTAATGTCACTGCTCATTTCTGCTGGTTGAAAACCAGAATAACTAAAAATAGAAACTGCTGCAGCAAAGTGATCTGTGTGTTACAGGCTATATGAGCACACTGTTTTTCTAGCTGTTGTTTTAGCGATCTTGCATAGCTCAAGTTACGTCATACGACACCAAGGTTGTCAGAAGATTTAAAGCAGTGAACTTTCCTGTTTAAATAACGAGCTAATTTTTCCATCTTCAGCTAAAAAAATCAGACAGTAGATTAGACAGCCAAAAACATGAAGTAGAAAATGATTTTGACCAACTGATGGCTATTTTTGGCAATGCTGTGACTCTCATGTGACAATTCTCTAAATTTATCGAAATCATTGCATCACTAAAATTAGAGTTTCTGTATCACAGAAGGCTCTTGGAAAGGATGGAGGCTCTAAATTTATAGTATATGGTGGAAGGATGTACCAAATTGCGCTTATTATCCAGGAGTTCATATTAGGAGGGAACCCACAATAAATGCCACAAGTAAATACAACAAAAGGACTAAAGTGAACAACTAAAACCAACAGCATAAGGTTGAATGTCTTCTCAATACCTTAAGCACAAATTGAGTAAAATAAATTTCCTAGTTCAAATAGTTTTCCACTGAAACTACATGTTATATGTTAGATACAGGACCCTGGTACAGCTGTAATGAACAAACATTTCTTCGCAGTATATTTGCGCTTACATCTCCTATTAGCCATCTTTTAAGTCCAGTTGTAAAATACCGTCAGTTTTTTCCTCAATGTTCATTCCAAACACGAAGCATGAAGGTCATCGATCAAGACCCATAATTTACAGTATGGACCAAAAAAATGAGGCTAATGATATGTACATTACATGCATAAATAAAGCATTTTTTCTGTGTAATGAGAAAGACAAAGGTGGCAGAGGATTCTCCGGGGATAAAAACTTGATTTTATTTACTGCAGGTACAACTTGAAAAACTACTTTTAACTAAACTACAATTTGACGGCTTTTTTTCAAGGTAGACAAACTTGAAATGAGAGAGATGAAGAAAAGGAGACATCTTTTTCCGTTTAAACTTCAGTCAACATAGTAAGGTATGGATCAAAATTGACCGGAAAAAGACATGACTTCCTCTTTCCCATAAACTGTATTTATTTTAGAAAACAACATCATTATTTCACTAAAAGATACAAAGGACATTTTTGTATTTAGATGCCATTTCTGACTAGCTCCTTTGGTGAAGTTTACAGTTACTATCATTACTCCTTTTCTGTTGACAATGAAGCTCGTACATGTACATTTATCATAGGAATATGACGAGGTATTTCTACAACCTGAACAAAATCTGCGTTATACAATTAATATAATTCATGTTATGTTGACATGCACTTAATTAACACAAATCTTTGCTTATATAAATTCGGCTGGTAGAATCTCATGCCGAGTAAGCATCTTTTTTTTTTAGGCCAGCATTCTGCCAAAAGAGCAAGACATTTTCGAGCATTATATCACCTAGCTATCTAGAGCCAATTAAGGGTTAGGACTAGGCTTTCTTCCATATTTTGTGACACAAAACACAAGTCCTAACGACTTAAAATTTTGTGGGTGTCAAGCTGGAATGAAGTAGAATAGGCCTTTTTCAAAAATACTATAATATCCTTTCTTGTCCCTCCAAAATTTTGCATAAACATTATTTTCAATTTCTCTTGGGACTTACAATCATATCCTATGAGAAATATTCGGGGGCTTATTGCAAAGCGTTTTTGGGCGACGCAGGTCAACCAAAAGTGAGCTCCTTTCCTTTTTAATCTGCCATGATGCTTCCAAGTTTGTATTCCTAAGCGACTTTAGTCTCAAAGAGACGATTATGAATTGGCTGAAAATTTGTCAAAACTACAGCCCAAGAGTGAAAAAAACCACTTTCCAGTTGATGTGCGTTGCTCAAAATAGTCTTTGCCTAAGCTCCCTATTAAAAACAATGCTTATGCAAAATTTTGGAGGGACAACAAAAGGTGTTATGGTATTTTTGAAAAAGGTCTATTTAGGTGTCTAAGGAGAATTCTAAGCAGAATAAAGATGTATATAATTTTTACAAGCACTGCCAGCAAGCAGAAGAAGCCATTTTGCTAGCAGAATTTATCCAATCCTCCTACATTGGATGTATTCCAATAGACTGAACCAAAATATCATTATTCTGGTATAAACTGTAGAGAGGGGTTGGCTTAGAGATTATGTCAAATGTATTTGATAAAAGCTATTTCCACTTCTTCAAAGTGATGGGTACATTTTGAAGTTTGCACAAGAAAGTAGAAGAAATAAGCTATCCTCTTGGAGAAATAAATGTCACATGATGAATCCCCAGGGATGAATTATAAGACATTTTAAAGCAAAAGTGACGACTACGTGTCAACTAACTCTGGAAGTAATGTAGATGACATGTAACTTTCCTGGAAAAAAGGTGCATCAAATAACAATGCTGTCTATAATATAGCCTAATTTTAATAAGTTATGACGTGAATTAAGATGCATAACAATAAAAATATACGTGCATATAAATTTCCTCTAGTGGGTCGCTTAAGAGGAGTGTGCTCTTCAAATTACTTCATCTTAGAATAAGACATAATTCTAAGATGAATAAGCAAAAAATCTTTTAACAACTACAATACAACATCACAAAGGAAATGTAATGATGATAAGCATCCAGCTCTCTGTGGTAGGCAGGCATATTAAACTTACACCATATTAAATACGTACAACAGGAAGAGGAAAAACATTATCAAGCAAACTGTTGAGTTTAACAGGGAATGTCGTCATGATCAATGGAACATTCCCTAGTTCAAAGGTAATGAAATATCAAACAGAATTCCATACAGAAAGGCACGACAATGAGTTATTTTTTGCACGAATTTCGATTTCGTACAGGTAGTAGGCAAGCGAAAGTACATGTGTACGTCTACGTCTACTTTTAAGGAAGTCTTTTGAACTCGCTGGTGTTAATGTTATTAAGGCACAAAACTTCACGAAACATGTGTAAGAACATGTGCCTGTAAAATTTAACAGCGTGCTTCATCCTTCTCCATTAAATGCGGACTTCAAGATTTTACACTAGATTGATGATAACTTGAAATCGAAAGCAGTCAAAGATGGCACAAATTTGAACAGTATCTGAATCAACGAACCTACCTCACATCCAAGTCATCAGCATAAGCAGAAGCCATTCAAACATTTAGTTCACTTAAGAGAGCACACAGATCAACGAAAAGTAAAACAGTGTCGCAAGCACTAAAGTGCTACAAACACGACAGCAAAATATTCAATATGGCGATGATACATATCCAAGGGATCTGAGTTTGATTTTACCCAATCAGAGAATGCATACCAAGTTTGGAATACTTCCGGTTTGTGTTATCGCGCGCGCACGCGGAAAATGTCTTTCAATCTGTCTTCCGACGTCCTCTTTCGTGTTACTGCCATCGTATGTTTTCAGCTGATCAAGTCAGGTATACAAAAACGTCAGTTCTCTCAAATATGATTTATTCATCGTCTTTTGAATCTGCCCTTATTTTCCAAAATTTTCCACCCAAAAAAAAGCTTTCCAACTCGCCTTGGAAATAAAACGGAAAGAAATTTACTGAATATCCTCTCAATCACACATGCTTTACTTAGCGAGTCCAAAATTTTCTTGAAGAGAAGTTTGTTTACACGACAATAGCACGGCGAACAGCAGCTGGGAGCTTGAAAACACAATGGTGAAGAAGACTTTCCACCAATCAGGGCAAAGAATAAATCCGCAAATAGAATGGGCTAGCCAATCAAAATAGACTGTTTAAGGCATTATCTATGCGGGCAAAGAAGACCAACTGATTGATGAGTAATAATCAAGAAAAAGACGCTTTCTTGATCCGTATTTTGCTCGCGGCTAGCATTATTTTTTTATATTTTTAAATACAAGGTATGTGACGTTGGCGGAAATAGCTTGAAATTGAAATATAGACTAATTTACAACGTGTTGGAGAGAACGCGGCCAAGCCAAAGCATCTTTTATAACCTCGAAGATGAATGAACAATGGCTTTCTTTACCTGCCGTGTGTAAATACATATAGGCACGAGTCGAACTCTTTGTAATGATTATGACCATTAAAAAGGGCTCTATTCATTCGTTGGCGAATATTCACCGCCATCTACACCACGTGCGAACAGTGAAACAAAAAAATACTCATTACCATCGCTTAGAACGTATTCATCGCTTTGCGCGGTCGTCGCTAAAAGCAGTATGTCCATTTTGGTCAAAAAGCCTTCTAGTTGAATTTAAAGTTTTAATTGTTTACGTTGGTGTGGTGTCTTCCGCTGGCTTTTCTGGGCTCATCAAGATGTTCGCCACTCTGAAAACGCCGCTTGGCCTTTGAAAGCGTCTCTCCGGCAACGTTTCGCATTCAATATTCTTTCATAAGGGCCGAAAATCGTATTTTCATCAGTGGGTCAAATCAAACACCATCGTTGTCAAAAACACATCAGAAATGCGCGCTCGATCGTCGAATCTGATTTCATATGATCATTATTAATTTTCCCCTAAGCAGGTATAACCACGTGACGCACACCACAGAACCATTCATCTGACTAGAATCTTGTTGAACCTGACAGAAAAAGCAACGACGTGGCGAGGTGAACACAATAGCACCTGCTGTATACGTAATTCACTAAGGCACTATTTCGCCTTAGCTTCTACAATTCTGGGATATGGCCGATTTTGGCCACACAACAAGATCACTTTCACCAGTCGACTACAATCACAGCGACTCGCGAACCACGTCGCTCTTTTTCCCTGGAAATCTCAAGGAAGAACATCCTGACAGCAAAAATATTAAAAACGGATCGTGTGAAGACTGTTTAGACGATTCACCGAAATCTAAAGTAATTTCAACACAGGGAAATACTGCCTTGGAGCAGACTAAACTAAACTTTACGAGAGACCCAGAGAACTCCATGTTTCACGATTTTACGACGTCGACCACGTTTTGGTCACCAACGAGCGTGGAAGATGTTTTTGTACAGCCCGCAATTCCTCAGCCGGTCAACGGCATTCATTTGCCTTCAAACTCTCCAGTAATAACACAGCCAAGAAGAATAAGCGGACCGACTAATATTACAACGACAATGAGCCATCAGCCTCGAAGACCGATTCATCACAGCTCTACACCGTTTATAACACAAAGCAAATCTATGCCAACTATAACAAGTTTAGGAGGATGGAATCAACAAACTCCTCAATCTATTTCAGGCTGGCCGTCACAGCAACACAACCACAATTCATGGGGAAGTCGCCATTCAAACCATACAATGAACGCCATAAATTTCCCTAATGGTCGAAGCTCCCGGCCATCTTCGTTAACGCTGCCGAATTCTTCTCGGATAAGAAATAACCGGCCACACCATCCTTTCGCTCAAGTCTCAAGGTCGGCGATATCTACACAAAGCATAACGCAAGGATTACAAAGCCTAAGTTTGAGCAGACAGCCTGTGGACGGGACAATTTTAGACGATATTCCAAGCCTTGGAAACTCACATGGCCAAAGCAGTGAACTCTCTAACTCGCTTTACTCTTACCAGGTAAAAATGAATATTTCATAAAACAACCAAAGATACGCTTTACTTGAAAACTATTTTTCAAGAAACGGTGGCACAAAAGAACAGCTATAACAATTTCCCATTTCTTTAAAAAAACCTCAGTTTTTGAAGTGTATTTTATCTCTTTGTGCCAAATTGGCCAGAATTGTCCAAGAAATATCTAGAGACTCTTTTTTCCTGTCTCCTTTTTTCTTTTTCTGCGAAATAAATTATATTTTCTGCCTTGAAAACGTTCAGGACCGAGGTAACTTAAAACGATGAAGAGAGTGAAAATATGGATTCGTCATAAGTAATGTTTCTCCCCGTCCTTTCACAGATACCATACATAAATTAATGACGGAAAAATGGGCCACAATGTACAGCTGCTTCTAAATTGAGGCTTAATAAAACTGGAAATTTGGGGAAAATATTTATATCGTATACTTCTATCGCTAACACATGTTGTCTGTTTCCTTTAACATTCAGGATTCAATGAAATTCCCGTCGCTGGAGACACGTCTGCTCGATATAATTCGTTCCCCGTCGGATCCGCCTGATAATTTAAGCGGTTAGTATGATCTTTTCTTACAAAATGAAACGCACAAACGCACTGCCTTTCTGTAGTACTGACATGGCACTGGCTGGCAAAGTAACTTGACCATTGTGAGATCGCTGGTACTTTACCACGCCAAAACAAGTAAATTTTGTTTTTCAGAACCTTCGACTGCTTTATGCAAATATAAACCACTTTTTAAAGATCCTTTCTCTTTGGACAGTTTCTAGGGGAAATTTTACAATTTGAAAGTTATGCATTTTTTCCCTTCTTGAATTTCCTATCTTGGTAAGAAAAGATGCACTGAATCTGAGATCTCCTCGTCGTTTCTTGCTTCCGTATTAGGTGTTTGAAAATGTAATACTTAGCTAGTAAGCTTATGGCAAAAAAGTTGCATTCATTCAGGTTGTTATACCAATCACCTGTATTGTCGGCCGTAGCCTTTAAATTTTTAATAAGCTTGCCAAAATGGCTAGAAGCAAGAATATTTTACTCGATTTCAACAGAGTTTTCGATCGTATCACTTTTCGACTTTAAGATCTACGTACCCATTTGGGGAAAATGTGGACTACACCTTACAGGAAATGAAAGCCTCGCTAACTGGCGATCATCGTAATACCCGAAGGAGGAGGTTTTACTATTTGTTTGGGTTAAATAGAAAACCACAAAAATTACGGGGTGATGCATCGTTTCGTTAAGCCTTACAATAAACGAGGTCAATTTTATAAGTTATCAGTAAACGTACAAATCTGTTACTCTTCTTTCTAAGTGTGCCTTCGAAACAACACATTCGGCCCTTCTTTTGTTGTATTTTTTTCTTGAGTTTTTGGAGCGCCATGAAGGCAGTAATTATAAAGTGCTGGGGTTTTGTAAATGCTGAAAAATTCAAGAGAGTAATCCAAGAAATTTTTTTACTCTCTTAAAGTCGCTTTTCTTGTGATTTAGATCAAAACGTTTATAACCTGTATGGTTTACACTCCTACATATTGCTTCTGACGTAAAGAATGAAAAACCTATTTGCCAAGCGTGATTTTAAATATACCGGATTTAGGTCGATATCTTGGTGTAGGGAATTTAATTCTTTTTCTTTTTCTGTTCTTCTAGTTTAGCCTCATAAAAAATTACAACAAAAATCGCAATTTGCAGGTTATGATCGCATCGCAGCGAATATATTATCGATGAAGAATCACTGAAAACAAAGAGCCGCCCCTGCGATACTCTAATCTATAGGATTGAGTATTCAGACAAAAAATTTAAAAATCGTTCTAGCCTTTCTATGCTAGAAGAAAATATTAAATGCTTCCTTTCCTCTCTGAATCGTTGTCAAAAACCTAACATTTTATGGTTTTTGGAGATTTTCACTATATTCATACTCTTTGAATTCACTTCATTGATCTTTTCGCTCAGTCATGACACGAAAAAGCTCGGGTTTTTTTTATCAAAAATTAGAACCTTATCGTGTGTTATAAACAATTCTTCTATTCCTAAGCCAATACATAGACAGTAGAAATGGAGAGTCAAGTTTTAAATAAAGAGAAAATTTTTTATCATTTTTATCACAAAAATAGAGTATAATAGAATAACACTCTGAACAGAAGCAATAGTTACCACGGATAGTTAAGTGGCCATTGGAGAAATGCAACCACTTGATGAGAGTTTCTTCCCTTGTTTTATTTTCTACATTCACTCCTTACGTTTGAAGCCAAACTACTGCCTTTTTAAACCAAGCATAGCACAAAAACCGTAATTTTTGATTGATTTTCATTCAGTCTAGCCTACTTGCGGTGGTCTTAATACTATATATCCTGCCTTAACAAACAGCTGGAACGGATGAAAAAAAATAGAAAATGTGAAAAGAAACCACTTGGTTATGTCGGCAAATGCGACAAAAAACCTTCAGTGAGTTTGTTTCAACAGGAGAAAATAGCAATATGCTTTCTTAAAGTGTGGAAACCTAAAAAAAGGTCAATAAAACAAGATTTTACAACGCCAACGCAAAAGCGCTAGCGAAGAAAGAGCGAACACTGATTAATATCTAGTGATCTATTTTTCCTTCCATTTTCGCCATTTAGTTCAAAGTCAACGGATGAAAATCATATATAAAACAAAATTGAGTTTCAGCAAATTTGGTGAACTGCAAGATTTTATAGGTTTATAAGAAAGAGACGATTTTTTTAAATGTACAAACAAGATAGCATACAGATTGATATGCGAGAAGCTGTTAGGTATTACCAGGGGGCTATACTCGTTTTCTTTTTTATTTTTTTTTTCTTCCAAGCAACGATTTTGGAGTGAAAAAACTCAGGAGTCACCCTGAGGAATTCTAAACTTTCATTAACAACAAGCAAAACTTCGATAGAATCTAAACTACTGGAATTGGATGGGTCAGCTGTCCTAAGATGAACGAATACAAAAATTTAGTATTCAGAGTGACAAGCTGTTCGTTTGGTTCGTTCCCTGAGAGCAGGCGATGTTTGTATAACTTAGGGCCTTGTTTTGGATATTGTTTCAGTTATTTCCAAGTGAAAGGTACATTTAATGCCAGTGCATGGGAGAAAATCGTTGCGTTTGTCTACTACGAAAATTACGCTGCTAAGTAAAAACACTGTTCGAATGAAGAAAGAGTTTCATGCCCTTTTTGAGTAAAATTTTTGCTACGATTCATTTTAAGCGGCACTCTAATGAGACAAGTGCCCATGAAGATAGACACTGTCTTCGTATTTTGCTGTATTTTAGTTTTTGTTGAGCCACTGCCATGAGATCTTCTCTGGGGATAAAAAGCTTTTCCGATACCGCAGAAAACAACAGCTGCAGCCATGAATATTCCAAATAAACATGTCAACATTGATGTTTATTTGGAATTGAGTTAAAAACTCGCCGCTCTGGTTGGTCAAAAAGGAAATTGACCAAGAGGATGAGACCTTAGCAAAGTGAAAATATTAGCATTTCTTGGCCGTCAGTCAAACTGATTCAGAATTAAGCTGAATATCTTGAGGCATTGTTTTGAGGAAAAATACATCTAATGCCGTTTAGAAAACCGAGTTTTTAACTCCTGCTGATATGTGTTTTTCCAAATATTTTCCTACAAGTGTTTGACGATTTTCTTTTTCTGGATCCAACGAAATTTTGCTGTTGATTTGTGTTACAAAAACTAAAAAGTGTACAAGTGTTTTTCGATTCGGTCAGTACAATAAAGGCTCTCCAATGTAAATTCATCTCAATAATTAAGTTGGATTGCAACCGCGTCGACAAAACAGTAAATTGCAAATGTGCGAAATTTTCCTTAAAAATTCAAAAGGAATATGACAGTTTAGAAAGCCTTGCATTAGCTACAATCTACCTCTTCAGATTCTCTTTAAAAAATTTTGATAGGCCTTAAAATCACCTTCTAAAAGCGTCCATTTAGAACTGACCCAAGCCGTGAAAATTCATTTTTGTTTCCCCAGTCAGGGTGGAATTAAAATAGGTTACCTAATTTTTTCCCAGACAGTGTTTTTCAAAGTAATCAACGATGCATTGTTTGAAAAAAGCATTTCTTTTTATTCCATCTGGGTATAGCTAAACGATTTCAAAGCAAATCGCCTCGAGAAAAGGGACTCAATGAAATTGGCGATAGCCAATATTCACACCTTCTAAGTACAAAAGGAAGGAGCCCGTTTATGTCGTAGGCAAACTTGCTTTCAGAAAAAAAAACGGTTGAGCGTAAAAAGATACTAATTTTTGAACTTTTAAGGTCAAAACAACCACCCTAAGTCACAATATTTATATTTTGCAAAGTACAGGAAATATTTCTTTGTTGCGGATAATACAGGAAAAGAGAAATCCAAATATAAGTAATCGTCGTCTAGGAAATTTATCGTCTCGGGGCTTTCAGGCAAGAAAGGGGCCAATAATTCGTCATGTAGATAACACTACATTTTTTTCTGTTTTAGCCCTGACATAAAAGGTTTGCTCATCCAATCCCTACTACTTGAGGAGTAAACAAAAAATATTGCATTCAAAATTATTTCTTGTCAGGAAATTCAGTGAGCTGATTTCTAAAAAGCTCACTTCATTCAATAATTTGACGCTTTCATATCCTTTTCTCCATTGCTGATAAGTATAAGACTAGTCTGCATCAATTAATGTGGTTTTGTAGCAACAATGATCGTTTTAGTCACCGTAAAAATTAAAAAGTTAAAGGCTGTACACTCTGAATAACACTGTTACAGCTTATTGGACAGTGAGTCCGACAGCACGTTTTCATGATTTATGAGCCGGAGGTATAGGTCGTACTTAGCATTTTGTCTGCTAAGGTGATCAAATGAATGTTAATTTACCGGACATTAAAAGAAAATCTGCCCTATTACACAGAACAGGCGATGAAAGTTACAGCTGACGTTCACTTTACATGCAAAGTGAAACCGAAATTAAGTGCTCTCGATAAAAATTTCTTTAAAATACAATCGCTGAAAACTGTCAGAGATCGTAAAGACAAACTTTTGGGAGTAGTGTGAAACTAACTTTGCACTCTTCGCGAGTAATCATAAAATTTCGCAGTTTTTTGACATATTTATTTGATCTTCCAGGAAGAAAAAATGATTGTTACTTCGATAGAAGTAATTTGATAGCATATTTCTTAGTGAATTTTAAAATAAAATTTTGCTTAAAGTTAAATAGCTTGTATCGTTTTCACTTCTTAGTGCACACACACCGAAAAAAAAGGTAAACATCGAATGGCGCTTTTAGCTACTATTTTCCCCAGTTAAGTATAAAAAATGATTCTTTTTTCTTAGAACTTGACCAGTGAAATGGCAGTTAAAAGCGTCGAAAGCACGAAAATATTGTCTTGGAGGTAATCTTTCGCAACACTTCTTTAAGTTTAAACATTTCCGCCAAATTCGTCTACAGTCTATCTACTACATTGTTCACCAACCGCTTTGCAATATTATTTGCACTTTTAAATTTTAATGCCAGCAATTTTCAATGCAGACAATTTTTTACCATGCTGTGAAATGTCGTCCATTAAGGAGCAGTAATACCTGTAATAAGGAAATCAAAAGATCCTCAGTGCTCAAAAGGTAATATTTTTTCAGGAAGGAAAGCTTTGTGGTGGGTAAAAATCGCCTAAAATGACGGAATTTTCACGCCGCTATTAGTGACAATGGGTTGAAACGTCTTCCCAGCTATTACGATCAAAAAGGCTCAAAACAACAGACGAACAAGTAAGAAATACAAGCAGGAAGACATAACATCCTATTATGTTTTGGGTTTACTTCCAGAAAAGTAAGTCTGAAATATTTTTGAAGAAATTTGAAGAATCACTGATTCTTCAAATCTTTTAAAAAAGTCAAGTAAACAAAAAAACAGAAATACAAAATGTAGATAACATGAGTGCACAATACAAGCCATATTTTATATCATACCATGAAAATAGACGCGGTGCAGTAATAACAATCTGTTATCGTGAACTATGCATTGTAACGAAGGCTTTATCGAAGATTAAGTTTGGTCTCATTTTTCCACTAAAGAATTGAATGAGGGCGTCAATATCATCGGCTTCACAGTCCTTTAGTCACCTAAACCCCGCTAAACCTATGCAGCAAGTTGCCATGAAGGAAAAATTCAAAGCTATTAATAATGAGAAGTCGCCTTAGGCAGGAAATTCTCCAGACAGACGAATATTGACAGCTGCGTATGGTCTTGTGTGTCTCTTCGCCTCCTTTGTATCTTCAGGGTTTTGGTAGAATCCATGTTTAGGTCTGGAGTTCCTTTGCTTGCCATGCACGGCTTACAAACTAGAAAGTCATAAAACAAAAATTTTGCCAAAGTTCGATTTGTGCTTGTTTCTCGCGAGATCACAGTAACGTTTATGTAAACAAAGGTCCTTGAGATCGGCCTGAGTTTATACTGAGATTCGGAATGCTTGAACTACAGTAATATTGTTAAGCAGGATCCAGCGCTTTCAGGGTATACGACAAAAGCTTTATTTTAAAGATGTGACGGCCACAATATACAGATTTCACTCAATATTTTTCGCCATTAGCATATTAACAAGCTTTTCTAAAACTTCATGGAGAAAGAGGACATTTCCTTCTATTCATTTCCTGGTTCTCGCAATAAACTGCATTTTTTCCAACAATGACGTGCAACACGTGACCATTCGATCAGCCAATGGCATACACTTGCATAGGCGTAACTATATTTTGCTTTACGTCTCGTAAGAAACATCAAATTAAAAAAACAAGGAACAAATCGAGACATTTCACATTCCTTGAATTCGCTCGAAAAAGTTTCCTCAGCTTGAACCAGAAATCAGTAGAAGAATTGCAATCAAATATCAAGTAGCTAATGCCGACAATTACCTCTCGGTTTTAAAAGTCACCCGGTCACAGTAAGCTCAGAAAAATATACTGGATTACGTAATGAAAGGAAATTCTAATAATGTGGCATTTCTTATGCAACATTTTGATCTCAGAAAGCAATTCTTTTCCTTGGCAAAGATACCAATATTCTGTCACAGACATGCAGGACAAATACAGAGAATCGACAAATTTTGACAAGTAATCTATCTGTCTGTGGGAAGTCAGGGATAATAACGTTCTTTTTTGATTTCTAATTTCAGCTTTCAAATATCATCTACAGAAGAAAGGACTCTCCCACGCAGGCGGTAAATAAACGTCATATTTCATTTTTTAACAGCAAACAGATTGGGATACAATACTTCAGCATTCAGCAATTCATTAGGGCGCGTGAAAATTGAAAGCCCACGCAGGGGGAAAAAACAAAAACAACATAGTAATATTATGAATAGTTGCTGCACTAGGATTAATTCAGGAAGTAAGCAGTAAGATAATTGATGGGAAAAACATGACTAAAATCGATATAACAACTTAGAAAGCAGGTTGCTGTATTCTCGTACGTCGATCCAATCAGACCAACGATTGGTTCAATCGGCTTCCAAATAAGGAGATAATAAATTAAGACATCTATCATTGTTAAACGAAGTTTCCACTTTTTTGACGTAGACAAAATCGAATGAAAGCTATTGATGGAAAAAATCATAAAGAAAATCTTTCCTGTTTGTAATTGGATCGATCGTTTTGAGCACTCTTTGGAAGTCTTATAAGATGAAACAAAAGCGTAAGTCTTTTCGTGAAAAGATGATGCGTATTAAGGAACTATCGCCCATCGGCCAGTACACCTCAAGAAAATTTTGCATCTTCTTTCCCCAGCAATATGGTTTCTCTATATCAAGTGTTCTTTTGACAGTGACAGTTTTTTTTGGCCACGAAATGTTAAATTTAAATAATTTATAGAAAAAAAAAAAGAAAAATAGCAAAACAAAGCAATCTTTATACGTGGCATTATTATTTACCCGTTTCCTAGGTTTTTAGCGAAATTTTATAGATTTGGACAACAAATATGGAAAGGGAAATTAAAATATTCTTAGATTCCTGCTGGTCTAAAAAATACCACTCAAATCGTTGTAAATTACTACAGCCGGTAAACAGTGATCGAGAAAATTAATTTCATGCTAATGACTACTTTATGAGAAAATAAAGCTTCATCTGCGCGCACGAAAGAAAACTTTGGCTAAATAAGTGATTCGCATTTTTAATGTGATAAGAAAAAACACCGAGACAGAAAGTTAATTTTTGTCTTAAATTGCAAAAATCGGCGTCGTTCCCTCTTGACTCGCTTTCATTACCAAAGAATCAACATGACACCTTTTCGGATGGCAGGAACGCCCCTTTACTAATAGCTGGAGAAATGAAGTATTGATCAGCCTCATTATACCTAAAACCATTCGTTTCTTTCAGAAATGATTTTCATTCATGAATTACTTAAATATAAACTTGCCATGAAATTTTTTTAAAATTTGAGACTTCAAACGAAGGGTAATGATGAAAAAAACTCGTGTTTACTATTTCAGTTGCTAAATTCTTGCTCATTCCCTATCATTCTTTATGTTTTTTCTTTCGCCAATTATTTTCTGGTAGTGGCCTTTTGATCTATACCAACTGTTACCACCAGCCTGGTATTACGAGTTTCTTGGCTGGTACGGCCAGCCGAGATATTATTACTAAGTTACGGTAGTCTAGCTTTGGACTTCTCGTTTTTTGTTCTTGTTTTTTCATCATCTCAAGCATACTATATTTCTGCCCTCTACAGATCAAATTGTCCCATCAATATGGTCGTTGAACTGCTCCCCTACGTCGGAGCTTCCAGATCACGTGGAACGATATTCAAGGAAAGTTTTTGTTGGGGGACTGCCTCCAGACATCGATGAAGGTTAGTTAAACAACTGGATCTTGACTTCTGAAATTCAGCAAGGCAAGACCAGCGTACAAATGTTAGGGGTAGGGGAACATGTTTATAGTAGAGTAAAAACTAGTTGGAGTGTTTTTCTAAAGATTTCGGTCATTACTCACTTAGAGGAAAGAATCTCTAAGTGTATAATAACAAAAACAACAGAAAACTTTTATTTTCAATTAGATAAAATCCTTAACGTATTGGCTACTTGCCACGGAAGGGGCATTAAAAATTTACAATAAAAATTTTACAATAAAGTTGTGAGTTGACAATATTACCAAACGGAAGTTTTTCTGTGGACTTGCGCTCAAGTACATGAAAGAATCTTCACTGTTTTCCATTGCAAGTCTTTTTATCTAGAGGATGTCGACCCAAATGATTGCAGCTTTTACTAATCTAATCGGTCATAACCAGTGGCGGATCCATGAGAGGCCCTCCCCCCCTTATTTTTAGACCAAACTGGGGCTCGAGGGGCCGAAATAAAAGTTTTTGAGACCTGGCCCCTTATCTCAGGGTCTGGATGACCCCCCCCCCCCGCCCTCCTTATCTCAAGGTCTCGATCCGCCCTCTGATAACATAATTAACAACCAACAACTGTCATCCAATTTAAGTAACTAAACAAAACTGTTTTTTGGCAGATGAAATCCACGCCAGCTTTTGTCGTTTTGGAAGTTTAACCGTGGACTGGCCACACAAAGCTGAAAGCAAATCCTACTTTCCACCAAAAGGTACAAATAATTTATACAATGTGCATCTAATAATTCTACATAGAGCGGTCTACATATACCTTACCTCTTCCAGCTTTTAACGCCAAAAAGAGTATGCCACCCCTTTACGTTTACACGGTAAAGTTCGATCAGATTAACTCACTTAAAGCGGCCGTCTGCTTAGGAGACTCTTGATGTGAATGCGGTAACTCTGGTCTATTTCTCAACTTGAGAATCACATCACGCATTTCACTGGATCATTTTCAAATTTGGTTTTTCTCTTTCTGGATATTTAAACAGAACACACTGTTTGAAAAAAAAAACAGACAAAATTCTCAAACTTTAATTGTATGAAGGACACCAACCTAATTTAGGCATTTTTGGATCGAATGACATCTCGACGACATTTAATAGTAAGCCTACTAAAATACCCGAAGAACAATGCATTCAAACCCAGTCCTCCCTTAAGTTGAACATGTTCTCCTTAACTTCTAACATCCGATTTCTTGCCTATAGGTTATGCATTCTTGCTCTATCTAGAGGAACAATCGGTACAAAAGCTCATTGACGCCTGTTTTCAACAAGATGACAAGCTCTACTTATGTGTATCCAGCCCCACAATCAAAGACAAACCAGTAAGTTTCTGTCCTTTGTTATACTGGGGACGACGAAAGGACAGCAGTTTCGTCAAAGGAGGTTAAAAGACATCTCAATGATACGTGTTTCAGGAGCGGTTCCTGGTGTTTGAAGTGGTCTTTTCGTTGTTTTAATAATAATGACTTTATTTCTATAGCGCTCTTATCCTATGTTCAAGGCGTTTTTGAGTTGCAATGACTGTTCAGCAAAAAGTTAGCTTATGATTTTATTTCATATATCCAAACCTAGTAGACCTGGGCCAACAAGGTGCTAGCCTAAGAAAACATGCGACATTTCGTGACGCTATCGATCCTACTACTGGCTTCCCCGCGAAACGACAGTTGAGGAACGAGTGCAGAAATTCCATACTGATGACGTATTACTACCGAAATCCGAGAAGTGCTTTTGATTAGTTGAAGCAAGTTTCCACCGGGGCTCGACCAATTAGAAGTGCTATCCAGATCTGGGTATAGTGACACGCTACCAGTATGGATTTTCTACTCTCGTCCCTCAGACGTCATCTCGCGGGGAAAGCAGTGGTAGCGTCTCGAAATGTCGCTGTTTTTTCAGGCTAACAAGATGCACTGTCTGGTCAGACAGTCACCGAAAAAAACTCCATGAATCTCATAGTTCTATTTCGTGTTTCAGGTTCAGATAAGACCATGGAACCTGAATGACTCCGACTTTGTTATGGATGGCTCGCATCCTCTAGATCCACGGAAGACAATATTTGTGGGTGGAGTTCCCCGTCCTCTGCGGGCGATAGAACTAGCAATGATCATGGATAGACTGTATGGTGGCGTGTGCTATGCTGGAATAGACGTAGATCCTGAACTCAAGTATCCTAAAGGTAAATACTAACATTTTCTTACAGGGAATCGTGTATAGAGCTTTTTAACTCACGTGGATGACAAGGGAATTTTTATATAAGAAAGACGTTTAGCTCCTGAATGGTTTTCTTGGTACAGAAGTATAGCCGCCGTTTCGACGTTTTGGAACACCAACGGGGCCGCCAACACGTCATGTGAAAATGGTTTATTAAGTGGTAATCGTTAGGGGAATTGACCGTGGACACAGGTTTCATCAGCTAACCGTAAATCAAATGCGTAGTATCTTTGATGCTAATGTTTCAAAAGTATCTTACGGAGGTAATCAATAATTTTATGAACCTTTTTGCATTGAAGGTGCTGGTCGAGTTGCCTTCTCCAACCAACAAAGTTACATCGCTGCAATTAGTGCCAGATTTGTGCAGCTTCAACACGGAGACATCGACAAAAGAGTGAGTTGTGTAATACTGCTTTGTTTCGTGATCTATGTGAGCTTGACATGACGACTTGGTTGATAATTATGAAGCTGATGACGATATGATAATTTTAAAAATATGATTATGGTAACAGTGATGATGATGGTAATGACGATGGTGATGAGGATAATGAGGATGACGACGACGGCGACAATGATAGTGATGAGTATGACGATGATAATGTGATTAAGAAATACGATTATAGCGTTAGTGTGCTGTTAATGACGATGGTGAAGATGATGTTGATGAATATGATCGTGACAGAATAATAATATTAATGATCTTGACGAGGGCGATGATGACGACGATGATGATAACACTGATAATGATCTAATGACGACAATGAACGTAAACGATGATGATGACGATGACGATGACGATGACGATGATGATGATGACGATGGCGATGACGATGGCGACGACGACGATGATGGTGATGATGATGACGATGAAGATGACGACAGAGACGGAGGCGACGCGATGATGATGATGATGGCGACAACGACGGAATGATAACGATGATGTTGTTGATAATGATGATAATGATGATGATGATGATGATGATGATGGTGGTGGTGGTGGTGGTGGTGGTGGTGGTGATGATGATGATGATGATGATGATGATGATGATGATGATGATGGTTATATAGCATTTGATGTGTCTTTTTAGGTTGAAGTAAAACCGTATGTGTTAGACGATCAGCTGTGTGATGAGTGTCACGGCGCACGATGCGCGGGTAAATTTGCGCCCTTCTTCTGCGCTAATGTGACGTGCCTGCAATATTACTGTGAGCAGTGCTGGGCAATCATTCACTCCCGAGCAGGACGTGAATTTCACAAGCCTCTGGTGAAAGAAGGCGCTGACCGGCCAAGAACTGTTCCATTTCGATGGTAGATAAACCAGATCAATGGCTGCCATGTCGGCTAAGTCCACCAAAGCTGAGTTGGTTTACATTGTTTAGTTGACCACATGGTCCTTAGCTTTTGCTTTTTCTTAGTTCCTCAGGTAGCAGTTAAAATGACCTCATGCCAAGCATGTTAGTTGACCACCCAGTCAAAAGAGCTCTTATTTTCAGTTGTTTCCTAGCTCACGTACCGAGCTTCCGTTAAATTCGATCTGCCCTGTAATTTTGATTTCCCCTTGCATGATTTGGTAGATTGGAAGCGAAAGCATCACAGTAAACAGCCGATCAATCGAAATCGAGAGTTCAGGGCAAACCTATCTTTACGAATTAATATCAATGTATTGTTATTGACATTACTTTTATCATTATCAATATTTCATTATTATTATTAAGGGTTTCTCTAAGAAATTAACGGTATAGCAAGAATCCTGGAATCATATTGCGCGAGTGCAACCAAAGCTGAAAGATAATATCCATAGGTTTAATAGGGACTCTCGGGGTGCTAAATGCAGATAATTCTGTCTACACTTAAAAAGTTTTAATAATGTGGAGCTTTAGACTGTAAATGGGGATTTTTAAAGCGTTTCAGCTGGTAACAGAGATTTAATTTTCCATTCCATCATTAGTATTATCAGGCACTATAGAAATGTTAATTTTTTTAGCAGACCGGCTGATTAAAAAAAGATAGAACAAGTAGAGTTATTTATCGAGGAATTTTGACTACTGGAGATTTAATATTTAAGGAATTAGAGAAATGCTGTTTATATTATTACTAAAATTGTACATACCGGCTGGCCAGAAAAAGGCAAATTTCAGCTAAGAACATAAGTTATAAATTAAAGCAAGGAATATTCATAAGGAGGGTACGAAAAGATTTTCTCTGGAGTTTTATTTTGTCGAGTGTATCAATGTTTACAAGTGCATGGACTGATATTGTTGTGGCAGAATTTGAAGATTAACCGGCGGTGATGAAATGTTGAAATCCAAAATATAGCCAACAACAAGCCAGAAAGACAGCAAATCCAATAAAAATCCATGTTTTGATCGGATAATGAAAAGAATTAAGGAAATAAGTTCTTAAAGAAGAAAATATATCGGAACATGTCAAGCTTTATAATAAAAAAATCCCGTTTCACATGGCACATTTTTTGTTCAAGTTGTTTCAAACAACGTGAAATGAGACCTAAAATGAATGATGGCTGGTTTTTCAAACTATTTCGTCGTTGTTGACAAGCGAGTGCCACGCGGTGAGCTGCGAGAAAAAGTGAAACAAGGTATCTACTTTGAATCATAAGGATGAAATTAACCATAAACTTTTATCTTTTGTTCAAGAGGTTAGAACTTTTTATAGATTTTGTATTTACTGCAGATAATATATTACATGAGTTTAATTTTGGAAATATTTAGTTTTAGTAAGATGAATATATCTGTTTGTGGAATATCAGCAAATTTGTGCAATTTGCGAATTTCTTGTTTGCGTGGCAGATAATCTTCTCAGAAAATTCAAAATGCAATTTTAACTTTCAGATAATGGTTTATTTTTCTATTTTTTTCCATAGGTTATTCTAGTGTTCTATGCACGATATTCTAGCAACCTCGTTCCCAGGACTGTTTGTCCAAGAGAAAAAAAAGAATCCCTTAATTTTGGAGGTCAGCGCAACCTACAGATTAGTTAGTTATCTGCTCCAGAGCAGATTAGTGACTAATTTGTAGGTTGCCCGTTCAATGCATGATTTCCAAGAGCAACGTCAAACAAGTTTGTGCGACGGTGCATTTGTAGTTATTTTCTTCAAAGCAATGTATAATAAAACAGTTTTTGGATGAGATTTTTGTGATATTTGAAATAATCGAGGACTCCGCAAGAGTTACCGGCCGAGGCTGATAACATTTACCTCGACCTTGATTATTCCGAGTATCACAAAAATCTCGTCTAAAAATTGTTGCCTGAGGAGTCTGAACGTCAAGTTCTAATTTCCAAGACTATTTCTAGATTATCCGATTCTTTGGAAATAAACATATAACGGAACTCTTTTCCTGGTCATTCACACCATTTTGTTGTGTGTATACCAAAACGTAGTTTCTGGAAATGAATTGTAATACTGGGAAATTAGTATCAATATAGCCTGTCACAAGAAGAGAATAAGAATTTTGCTTACTAATATTGGGATAAAACTTTATTTTTGGAAGCCAGAATGTTTTGACACGTTTCAATTCATACTTTTCACAATGATTTGATATCATTTTTGAGAGTTCTTTTCACTTTTTGTAATTGCAGTACAAATGTCATATTGTTCTTTGTAACTATCTTCCTGAAAGAACTATCTGCCACATAAACGAAAAAATTCCAAGTCGTAACATGTAATTTAACGCAGGTTACAAATTATTTCCACCCGTGCAAATGTACGGTAATATTTTTTTCACTTTATTTATGCATTTTAAAGAAGTATTCATGAGTATAATTCATGGAGTTAAAAAGGCAAACGATTTAACACAGCTTTTGCCTCTTGCGTTATAATTTGAGGCAGCACCCCCTTCCCATCCCCCGCCCCGCCCCGTTCAGAAAAACTTCTTTCTAAAATATAATGCTGATATGATTGTAAAATAGTTGAAATTTTCTTGAAAGGGAAAAAAATCTCGATCCTTTCCATAAATTACAAATGATTTCAGAATCAATTGTATGTGATGGATAAAAACGTAATTTTTAAAGCTGAACTTAAAATGGTAAGGTCGTCTTTATTGCAGAATTTGACAGGTTATAAAAGTAATAACACGGGAAAAAGTCACCCGCAATTTATGCTTTTCTTGTTACTTCTTCATAACGGTAACTTCACAGCTTATTTTTAATTTCAATATAATTGTACTCCACAAGCGAGCTGAGTATTGAGAGATGGTTACCAAACCAGCACTCTTTGTAAATGCCACTTTATTTGAACCCCGGAAAACGCCGCATGTAATTGTTACAAGCAAAAGACTAAATTATATCTTTGTAATAAAACAGACCAATGTCCTTTCAAAGAAAAGCCTTGGTAGGGTGAATGGATTATTTTTTGCCTTCAACATAGCATTATTTTTCTTGTACCTTAATATTAATTCAATCATTCTAGATTTGCGTTTAATATTCAGTCATGTCGATACGTGGTCACTGATATCTTCGATAACTCAAAAATAGGGTTTCGTGATATAGTAGGCTAGAACCAAAAAATATTCTGTTATAAAAGATACGAACAAAAGGACACCTGAAAACTAACTTACTTAGATAGATTCTAGAAAAATAGTTTTCATCTTAGTTATTATAAGTTACTTGTAAACAAAAATTTGCATGATTTTCAAAGCTGCATATATGTAAATGGTATTTTATAATTAAGACGACTGGTTAACATAAGCTAACTGAAAAAACTACTATCTAGGTAAAACATTTCTCGACTTAGCATTTGCTTTCATGTTATATTTCTTGGTTTCGTTCATCATCTGCAGGGTGCCAAGCTAACCTCGAAAACACACATCTATGCCTGTTCAAACGCCTTGTACAGAGGGCTTAAAAGAACATGTTAGTGCTGACTACCTCACATGCACACAAATGCGCTATGTTGCTTCGTCGAGGGTCACCAAAATTTGTTGTTTAGGAGGGGTAAACGGCCGAGTAACAAGCATGAATGTGTGTTTGACACCATGACACGAAAAGCGTGGGTAAATATTTCGTGTCTAGAACCTCTCTGTAGCTTGAGAGTTTAAAAACACACTTAAAGTACAAGTTAAAAATATGGGCCAGTTATTTAAACGGGGTTTATAATAACCAGTGTTTAACAAAACCGCGTTCATTGCTAAGCCTTTTTAAGTTTGCCCAACTCTTTTATCTTGACACCATTTACTGTGAACAGCTTCATGAAAGCATAAAGAGTAGACTGGAAAAGCACTTATTTTCTTAGAATACCCGTACCTGGAGGTCCAGCGATTTGCTAAACCGCGGACTAAGTTAGACTTCGTTTTAATAACCGACCCATATAGGTATTCACAGAGGTCTTGTCACGGAATAACCTTAAACCAAGGAAATCTCAGTTACTTGAATATAGTTTGTGTAGTGATTAGGTTTGATAATATTTTAAAGAAACTAAACTTTTAAAACATAACTTAATTTTCGATAAACTCGATAAAATAGCACTTTATAATGTTCCTGAATCAAAGTGATGTTCACAAACTAAACCCATGGTTCAGAAAAAGAATTCCTTATTTTCGTATTATTTTTTCCTTCCGTAAACTGGTTTATGTTAATCGAGTTGCTTTTAAAAGCGACAAAAGGAAAAAACAAAAAGACAGAAATTTTAAGATCAGGGTTTAATCACAAGATGTGGGAAGACAAGTCAGTGGAAGAGAATTATAAAGGATTTTTGTTCACTTTTTTTACAACTATTTTTCTTAGTTTCAGAAAAGACCGTTTCATTGATTTTGTTTTTAGATTTTGCATATTTTAATAACCTTTGGACGTAACCATTTTATGTACCACGAAAAACCCACAACTGTATCACAAAATCCATTTCCAGATATTGACCACGAAGCGCAATTTTAAAGACCATATTATGATGCATGCTGGTTTTGTAACTGATGTATTTTCAAAACATATTTTGACCTCTGCATTGTAGATCTTACAGGATTAATAATTATTTTAAGATCTCTTTAATTTTGTATTCAAACATTTGTAGCATGTATTAAAGACCTCTTGTGTGCCAGGTATCTGTAAATGCAATAATTCTGCTACTGTGGCATAAAGTAATTTTTTATAATTGAATATTTTGGTTATATATGGTTAATAGTGGAATAGTAAATATGATCTTGATAATTATTATTCGTAGCTTGAGGCCTCTTTTGGCCCTCAATACCTACTTTTTTAGTATTTAGGGCATTTATGTGTTGCAGTTATCGCAATACCTTTTGCTTAATCATAAAGTTCAAATAAAATACTTCTTGTTTGTGTTTAAACTGGTGTTAAATTTCTCTGGACATAAAGAGTTATTTCAGTATTAAAACTAAATAAAAATTGTTTTATTGTTTTTCAGTAAACTATATAAAAAAGGTTAAAACGCAAAAGTCTTACACAACCTTGCGAAAAGCAGCTGGCTCTAAAACTATTTTTCTAAAAATGTTAACAAGTATAACTTTGAAGACGTAACAGTCATATACACTGTCCTTGGCTCTAATTTTCTAAACTTGTTAAAAAGTGTAACTTTGAGGAAAGTTTAACAAAATGAATTTCAGCCACAGAGCTAATTCCGAGTTCAAAACCTCATTTATAATTCATAAAGAAAAACAAAGAAATTAATGTTTAATGAGTGTTTTTATATTTGATAATGACACGGCTAAACTTTACGTACAATTTTTTAAACCAAAATAACCCCAAATCTAAATATTAGTGCAAGAATGAGTTGATCTATATCAGAGATTTTGAAGCCGTTCAAAAGACTCGCAGTGGCGTATAATCAGGTTTAAAAACTCAAGCGCTTCGCCTCGAGTTTTTAAACCTGGTAAATAGACTTCTGCTCGTTTTTTAAAGACTAGTACTTCACAATACTTTAAGGAAGTTCAATAACCGCAGCCAATCTGCCGGGGTCTTTATACAAAGCGCCAGCCATTGCCATTTTATATTCATTAAAAACATTCTGAAAATCGTCACCATTTTCTTAAACATTTATTGCACCAAGAAATAGCTAGAAATCCTGCCAAATTGAGCCATATTTCGAATGAAATCTCGACAAGACTTAAAAGAATATGTGAAAACCAACACAACTGATCATAATTCCTCCTTAAATAGAGAAAGGAAAGTTAGCCGCCTCATCTCGCTGTTCAGCTAGAGGAAATAAAGGCCCTTTCCTACCTTTAGTGAACTTTTAAAGTTCCGTATTTGAAATTGCTAAGAAAGTTACCAAAAATAATTAAGACGTCTCATGAAACGATTGCCAGATAGCTCGCAAGAAAGCTCTTGCCCCTCCCTTCTCTAGCCGCTCGGGCGTGGTAGCTCTCCTATGGATTGTGATCCTGAAAAGGAGAGCTTGACCTAAATGCGTTAACATCCTACTTCAGCTGATCGAAATTTAACCCTACCCAGCTCGCGCTATCCGAGTGAGCGGAGAAGGCTTGGAACCACGCGCGATTCTCCCGACATGATTGACAGGTGACGTCACATTCGAAATAGCTGAGGACGGCTGGAAACGAGACTGAGCGTCGCCGTTTTAGCTGCCTCAAGTCCCTCCAGCCTCGTTCCCAGAGTAAAAGAGAGAACCCTGGGAACGAGGTTGAAGTCCTTCTCTTTTCAGTTCCGCGGAGACTCCCTGACGCTGGATCTGCCTCGTACCATGGCTTTTCCCTTGTCGCTGGATATTCCAAAGCAAATAGACATAATTAAAGAAGAGTACGCGCGTAGTGGACGTTTTTCCCTCGCCCCAAACTCCCTATGACACAAAGGGACCCCTGCGAAGGAGAGAGTTAAAGTACGTAATACCTGGTTCAAAGCAAACTGTGACGAACATAGTTAAACTTTTAACAAAAGCAACAACCAAACAAACTTGCAGTGGGTTTGCAGAACCGCTAATGGCGCGACTATACATGACGTTGAACAGCCCTTGCGCTAGCGGTCAATAGGAGACATTAGTGTCTACAAACCCGGTTTTTGAATTAGCCTGAATTTCATCCGATTACCTCGAGTCGTTATTACTCCCTCAGTAACGTTGTTGAGAAGAGAAAACGACTCTAAGCAATCTGATGAATTTCAGGCTAGACGTCAGCGCGAGTATTGCTATAGTGTCCATAGCGCTCTTCTTTGCCGTTCGCCACGTTAAATTTACTTATAGAATATTGGAGGAGGGAAGAGGTAAAAAGAAGAGGAAAAGTTGTAGATTCGACTCCTTCTATGGTTGGAGATTTTCTCTTCCCCTGTATAAGGTTCCATAGGTCGGATGGCGTTTCAAGGAATTCGGAGGTATTTTCGTTATCCTTCAATTAAGCTACTCCGTTTGCAAACCTACAAGCGTTTACTAGTGGGATTAGAAATGGAAGAATATGATCGCAGGAGTTTCTTGTGTGAAAAAGGGGGGTGCTTGTTGTCTCGTTCAGGGGCTGTAAATTGTCATTTTTGTATCACTTACGATGTTTAGGACGGAACGTCAACTTATTAACCCATTCAGATATCGCTTAATAAGCCATTTACACGATGGTGTCATTTTACTACTGCGACCACAATCCTTGTCGTTTTTCCTTTCATATTTAAATTTAGTGATCCGGCAGGTTTAAAATAACAAAAGACCTTAATACAAAACCATGAAGGATTCTGGTCGTGGTGGCAAAATGACGTAATCGTTCAAACAGCCTATTAGGGCCTAACGTGAAGAAAGCCGCCACCATAATGTGATGCAACAATGATAATTCGTCTTTATCGCAATTACAGTCGCCATATCTCTTACTGGGCTGTTTGTTTAAGAATTGGCACCTTTAGCGGTTTAATAAGGCTTGCATTGGTCTCCTTATAGTTATACAACTTTGATTCCAGTTTTCTGACGAGAGTCTCTGCCCATTCATCTGTTAAGAAACGAGAAAGGAACTGGAGTCGAACTGCATCCCGCAACTGTTTCTGGGATTGTTACTGGGGACGCGCCGGTCAGCTATTGGCTGATTTAGCAACAGAACAGGAACGTCATTTGACGACGGGAAAGCGCGCGGAAAGGACTAAACTCGACTTCCGGTGCCCAATTTGCCGCTCTGCCATTGGTCAAGCCGGTGGTTTGATTTGCGCGCGCAGTCGTCAACTGACGTTCCCGCTCTGTTGCTAAATCAGCCTATTTGGCCAAAACTTTTTTACCTCTTCCTAGTAACAGTCCCAGACTTCTTTGCGAAAGTTAACGCGGTCCAGTCTCCATGTAGTTTTTCAAATAGCGAATTTCACATGGTTCACCTAGGATGAAAACGGTCCCAAAAAATAATGCCACAATTATGTCATTAAAAAGAGAAATTTTCCGTTTAATTCGCCTATGACGGCTCCGTGATGTCTTCATCTTTGCTATCCATCTCTGCACTGCGTTCTTTGCTACCATTTCTTGATTTACGTTTTCCAATGTTCGGATTAGCATCGTGTGAGTATTTACATTCTTCTCCGTATTCACACTTGCCAGCTTTAAATCTCTTGCAAGGAAATTGTTTGTAATAATCTTTCTCTTCTTCTACTGTCCTTCGACCTTGTAAACGTTGTCTCTTCTCCTGGATTGTCTCCTCATCTTTCTTTCTTTTAGCCCTGGATTCAAGAGACATTGAAATAAATATTTCTCGCGGTTTCTGATAAGGAGGGGATACCGGTAGTACATCATTTCAACGAAGTTTCGCCGGTGTCCATACAATCCGTAAGTTAAAAGCCGTTATCATTTTGGTAGAAATACACTGTAGCATCTACATGCAGGGCCTAAAAAAACGGCCGGTCAACGGACAATGGCCGGTAAGAATGGCGTCTTGACCGGTTAAAAGCTTCACAGACTCTTATTCTTGAACAAGCAAACAAATCTTCACCTGTAAATCTTAGTTTTCGTCTCTTTGTAAAAATAAAATCACGTTCACCAATAGAAAATTACACAAGGATTAGTTCACGTTTTTCCCCTTCTTTTAACCGGTCAGAAAACAAGACTTGATTGAGCAAACATTTCTTTGGCCGATCATCGTGTCCGGCCACCGTCCTAAAATTATTTTGAGCCCTGCAAAACATGTAATTATGGGCATTGTCATGTAGGTATTCAGTAAGGGAAAGGAAACATTTAAAATAGCCCACTTAAAAAAGATCTGAAGGCCACGGACTTCCGTAAAGCACGGTCGGCAGTAAAAGCCAATAACAGTAGAAATCTGCCATATTAAAAAAAAACTCACTGTTGCCTGGGGTTCCAATCAATGCTTACTTAACTAAAAATGACGGGCACCTTTATAGTTTAAAAAAGCGTTTACACCTTGTGGCCATCATCATTCCGTAAGGCCTACGCGTTTCGGGTCATGTAATCGGGGCGATTTTTTCCCGGCCGTTCGTCTCGGTTACGTCACCGCAATGCATCGACCGAGAAGGCCAGGGAAGACATCGTACAGGGAGTAGGCAGTGGTGGATCCAGGGGTTTTTAGACCAAACTGAGGTCCGAAGGGCCGAAAACATTTTTTTGGAGTACAGCCCCTCCCACTTATCTAAAGGTCTCGATCCACCACAGCTAGGCGAGCTAGGTTTGTTACTCTACACTGCACTGTACCTGGGTTTAGGTCCCCAATTTGCTTCTGGATTCTCTTGATACCTAAGCAGTTTTTTCTGTCTTGAAGCTGGATTAGCCCCCGGCTTTGCTTCAAATGATACTTGTATAACAGGCTCTTTACTGAGGATGGCAGCTCCCGGAGAGTTTTCTTTCTTCCGTTTTACAGGGTTAAGTTTTTCCCAGCATCTCATGATGTCCCAGACAACTAGTGAAGACAATCACATATCACCGAATACAACTTAACAATGTATTCATTGAATGAAGATGATGTGAACTGACGAAATACAAATCTAAAATGAAGATATGAGCATCAAAGTCGTAAATCCGCAATTTAAGCAATTTCACCTTAAGCCCAAAAACCGAAAAAATTCTGGGATCCCTACGACTTCAATTAGACAACACTACGGTAATAAGAATGGTTAAAAAGTCCTTACTTTAGCAACTTGTAACAGTACACATTACAGTGACAAACCCGATGCTGAAGGTGGGCTCATTTATCCCCTCCCCCCATCAGTGCTCTGTTTTACTGGTATTTACAGTACTATTCAAAAGTAAGTTAACACTCGATTCTCGATCCTCGCGAGAATCGAGATTCCTCGATATGTCACTTGCAGATTTCCCATAATGCACCTTATTCCCCCGCCCCCCGCCCCCCCAAAAAAAACAACGTAGAAGAAGCAGTTGTTTGTCTACATACCATTATGTGGAGCATCTGTTTTCAGGGCTGTTTTGCAAGCATGCGAGCTGGATGCTTGATATCCAGCTTCTAATACAGCAGATCTGATTTGTATTAGTGAAGGAGTGCTACAGTGGAGAACTCCACACAAGTGATCCACGGTATAGTAAAGAGGACAGTCGGGCAGTTCTTCTTCAATGACACTTAATAACCCTGCAAATATAAGGTCAGCAAGACTCTCAATAAGATTTCAACTTGAAGTCTCCATTTTGAAGTTTCACTGGAAATATTTGACCCAGCAGATGTGAGTCTTTGGGATCAAAATCACAATAATAAGGGTGGATTAAATTTCTGTCTTTAATATTATAAGATAATATCATCAGTAAAGAATATATATACTGTATGTTGCTGGATATATGCAATTAGTAGGTGGAGAATTGAACAGTTAGAAAGTTCTTGGATAAATTTAGGTTTCTGGGAAACTGTTCACCTACCCCTCCCCTAAGCCATCATTTTGCCCTAAGAGAGAAGTAAGTGTTAATGTTAGCTCAGGGGAGGGGTAGGTGGGCAGTTTCCCAGAGGCCTAAACTGATCCAAGTGCTAGTCTTTTGGTTCTATTTCCCCTCTGCCTTCCATGAAAGTAGCTAGGGGTGACGCTCATAGTAGCCATGGGATATTTATTAATTTTTTGGAAGAACTTTCCCTACAGCTATAGTAGTTTTAAAGAGGGATCATTTCCTTTTTTTCTCAAGCCCTTTACCTTTAATTGAACAGTGTTACTTTGAGAGAAATTGAACATTGGCCACGCCTAGTTAATCAGTTAAGTTTTAAAGGTCAAGAAATATAACATAAAAATTAATAGCAGTACTGACCTATTATCCTATCAGATGTCTTGAACAAATCTGGTTTCTCTTTCACACTCTTGAGTAATTTGTCTACAAATTCCACATTGTGAATAGGCTCTTTCCATATGGGACCACCCAGGTGAAACTTGCAGCCACAGTGGTCACAGAATGGGCCAACAGGAGGGCCAAGGGCTGGGGGGTACTTCTTACTGCGACCTTCCTCAATGCGCCGACCCACTGGCAAAAAATGCCATATGAACAAACTTGTTAATCAACCTCAATAAATACACCTTTGACCATGCTTATGCTATCAAAATAATGAGCTCTAACTTCAAAGTGCCATGTTGCTTCCCATCAGGTCCTAGTTGTTCAAACATTGAATAGTGCTACCCACTGGATAGACAATTTTATCTACTGTATACGGTGCAGCATTATCCCCTTTTTGAAACAACCGGGGCCAGTAATGTAGGTGTACAACACTGCATTTAAAACTTAATCAGGAATCACTATTTTGCAAAGTTGAAAACCAAATAATTATGGTGGCCCACAGGGAACATGCTGCAAAATTAATGAAAAAGTTGCTGCAAATAAAATAAAGTTGATGCAAAAAAACAAAGTTGCTGCAAATCAAATAAAGTTGTGATAGTGTAAAACATGATCCTAGAGTTACATTGTAGCTTTTTCCTTCTTTAATTACTTTCACTAAGGTTATGCTGTGCATGGAGTATTCTAACCTCTGACTGACTAAAACTTACTTTTGACACTGTGAGTCTAACACTTAGATTTCACAAAGCTTCCTAGTTTAATTTGCAGCATGTCTCCTGTGGGCCACTGTAAATAAAATCCACATGGCAAAGGAAAATAAAATTATTGATACGGCAAAAATTATCTAAAAAGACAATGCATGCAAGGAATTCCACAGAACACAAAAACATTAAAAGAACACTTCCATCATCTCTGCCAGTCCTTTCTGCATCTACAGAATAATAGGTCTCATTAATTCTGTTCGTATTACTTTATTCTTACTTGGCTGAAGATGAAAGGTTCCACATCCAGTGCACAGGAAGACCAAAGAATGTTTACTCGCTGATCTTTTGACCTCTGATGGACTTGTGAAAACTTGCACAAACACACGAACATAGAAATCAACACTTATGCTCAAAAGAGGTTTGATGTACCTCTTGTAACGATTAGCATGTGATTCTAATGAAAACAACAATATTCTCAAAGCCTGTGAAGTAAAAAAAAAAGTACAGATTAAGACAACAAACCAAATAACCATTTCTAAATACAAAGTGAATAATATAAAAACCAATGCTGCAGTTTTAATGTCAACTATCTAGACTAAATATTACTAAGTCCACCAATTCTAGCTTCAAAAATTACTTTAATAAAATTAATCATTTTTGAGGTGAATCATGCATGTAAGTCACACCTTTATTTACAGTTCACCCTTAGAGTGTGTCAAACTGACTGCTTAGTACAGGTTGACTGTTTAATAAAGGTTTAACAAACCTAATAGTTTATCAAGAAAATGAAGATGGTGACAGAGTGAAATTACTATCACACAACAAATTGACCTCAAAGGGTTTCTACATTGTACAATGTAACTCTACTTGTGTTATTCATTCATTCTCCAAAAATAATCAGTGGTTTCTTAGCAGTTTTTTCCAAATAACACAAGCAAACTTGAAAACATTGGCACTTTCCAAGTTCAGTCCACTTCTTTTTAACTTATTCATGGCCAGACACTAAGCCTGTCTTTGCAATGGTGATTTTTTTCTAATTTTTAGCAAAGTGACTTTTTAGCAAAACCACAATACTATTAGTACATGAAGATCTCAATATTTATAATTGTAACAAAAATTCTTGTTAGATTTCATCTCAAAATATATTCTGCACTATTGCTGACACTGCCCATTGATTCAATCTGTGAATGGTTGGTGTTCCAAACATCAACTTCTCAATCCCCTGAATCTACCTTATCAACACATTTGATAAAACCAAATCTTTTTTTTAATTTTCACTGCCCCAATAAACTTGTCTTGATCACAGCTTAAAGAGTTAAAAAATAACCACATACTAATTAGATAGATTTAACAAAGACGAGATGATGACAGACATGACCGTAAGCGCTGACCTTAGAAGTGACTTAAAAATTGGCAGAACATTAAATTAAGCATTAGAAGTCACATATTGCAGACCTTTTTGCCTACTTACAAAACTTACTCAATTTTGCATTTTCTTTGCAAAATCTGTCCACAGTTTGTTTTTGTGCATCGTGTTGAGATAAGGACATGAAAATATACATGTGTGGATTCACACCAGAAATACACCCTACACTTACCATTTCATGACAAAATTTTGCTTTCAACGACATGCTACCATATTTTCCAAAGCAGGCCTCACTGTGATTTCCACAAAGCACTCCCATGTCGGTGCAAGTGATAAGTAGAATGCCACCATCTGATACTGCCTGTACTGCACTGTCAAGAAAGGTTGATGCTGATCCATAAGGATCAAGATCAATTGCATCAAAACGACTTGATAGAGGATGACGATGTTTATACATTAGTAACCTGCAAGGGGACCATGGACAATTCAATGTACAAGTAAATTGTATAATAATTTTCATCCCCAAGAGCTCACAAAGCCACAGTCAGGTATGCATTAACATCTGAAAATTGAGAGTGTGTCTGTTTTTTGTTACATGTACTTTCAATGTTTTCAGGTTATAGCTTCCCAACAATGCTCCCTCACCTTTAATGTGCATGGAATTTGGGGAAGGGGAGGATATGGTATCATAAATTATTTCAAGCAAATTTAGACAAATGCAAATGGAATTTTGGTTCTTACAGATAAATAATATTCTCAGTTTCGGTAACAATCAGATACTGCAAAATCAAGCCAACAGAAAATGTAACATTTGATGACATAGCATTACATAATGAATATCATTATAACTCTGACAGTCTTCCACAGTCAAAGAAGACTTCCAGATAACCTGGAAAAAATTAACAATCCATGCCTGCAGAATGGCCACTGCAGAGCAAACTGACTGCTCCTAATCCTTCTCTTCAGCACACACAAAAAAATATTATATGGGCAAAAATCATTTCGATCTGAAACTAAACAGAGAAAAGACCAACCCAGCATCTTCTTTGCTTGGCGACACAATGTGTTGCACCTTGTTGTGTTGAATGTTCAGTTTCATCATTCTGTACGCATCTTCACTGATATCATTAGCCGTTATATTCTTCACACATGGTACTTCCAGGGCGTATCGAACAGAACGCAGACCAGATGCTGCTAAGCCTTCCAAAATAGTAATTCCACTGTCAACTTCTCGCTCTGAACAAATTGTGCCTAACAAGCAGAAAAAATGGAAATGAATTACAATTGCAAATTACAATACAAATGAATTACCAAGAAATGCAAAAGTGTAGGAAATTGATTTTGAAAAATGTAGGGCTAAAAAGGACTCAAATACCAGCTTGTCCTTTGGGCAAGCAACTCTCACTTTTCGCTTGCACAGGGCCACTTCTTGCTCATCATGGTTAATAGGGAGCTTTAGCAATGACGACAGCAATGTCAACAAGGACGTAAAAAAAGCAATAGGTTTATTATGGAAAGCAACAACTTTGCATGTGCATCACCCTTTTTTGTACATTTCTTCATCACATTTTATAAGTGCAGAACGACAATAATAATTTTTTGAATTTCCAGTTTATTCAAACTAGCCATGTTAATTTTTTCTTTTGTTTCAAAAGGCTAACCTACCTATTTTTGTTCGCTGGTAAAAACTATACAGCCCTGACTAGCAAAATTAATTGTCATGTACAGCGGTGGACCAATGTACCCCCATTTTGGGAGTTTTGAACAATTGAACTGTCTTTTCTACACTTATCCAATTCATCCATGAGCTGACACTTTCCAATTTTTTATCATTCGCAACCCCAAGATCGACATGTATGCAAATAAATTATCTAAACTGATTCATAAAATATTAAATTGAGATAATTTGTAAAAAGATCAAAGCAATTTTTCCTTTGGTGATCATTTCATTAATTCTTATAGCCTTTTCTCTCCATCATGAATTGATTATTGTTAAGAGATAATAGACCTTGTCGCGGTTTTGGAAGCCATCTTGATGAGCAGGCAACTGCATGAGAAATTACGGTGTTTGTATGAGAATCTAATGTTGAATAATTTCCTTAAAAAGATTGATCTGAAAAAAATATGAATTGTATTATAAATTAAAGCTACACAGCAAAGGACTCTACTAAGAAATTTTGGGGGCCATAACTGTGCTTAAATATCTGCAGGTGCTTGCTTTAGATTTTCCATATATTTGTCTGCAATTTTTCCCGGGAAAATTTTAGTCGGCAGGAAGAAACATTTTCACACACAAATGTACAGAAAATTTTAAAAAGTGGTTCTAGAGCATGTAGCTTCATGTAAATTTTTTCAGTAGAATCATAAGTAATGAAGCTTTAATTTAAAATTCAAATTTTTTTCACAACAGCCGTTTTACGGAAATCATTCGACATTAGATTCTCACACAAATACACTCACTCAAATTTCTCATGTGGTTGCCTACGAGTCATGTTTGGCTTCCAGAACCATGAGAAGGTCTATTGCATTGATGCCAGTCACACTTAATGCATCAGTCAATTCCACCTGCACCCAGCACCCCCCCAGGCAACTGCAGGGCACTTGCCCTCCTTGTCAGTCCCAGAGGTGGGGCATTTGCAAATTTTGCACTGCCCAGGGGGCCAGGCATTTGCCAACCCCTGTGCCATTCCCGAGCTTTTGACACGCACGCAGTTTCCTATCAGAATATAACTACACAGAAGGTTTTACTGGAAAAAAAGCAGTTTGGCTCATCTCTCAAGGACAGGAATAAATTGTAGAGGGTTGAAAAGGCATGTTCTCAATCTTACATGATGTATGCATTTCTTCATTGCTTATCAAGCCAGAATTACGTAGCGAAATTGGAGCTATCAATGTGAATCAACATTTTTTTTGGTTATTGAATCAAATTTCATATTTATAAAACTATTCATAACATATTATTTTACAGCGCTCTATTTATTTTAATGTCAATAATTTTATTAGCCTGAATTTCATCCGATTACTTCGAGTCATTATTACTCCCTCAGTAACGACCTTGTTGAGAGGAGAAAACGACTCGAAACAATTGGATGAATTTCAGGCTATAGTTTTAGATCAATGCTAAAACCATAAACTGGTGCATGTTATGGTAGCACAAAGTCTTAATTAGAATCCTAGCACTATTACAAAGGAAGACGTTAGTTGAAACAAAAATTCGCACATTAAAATGCTTAAGATGGCACTAGTTGACTGTGTGATCAATAAAAATTGTTGCAGTGTTGACGGAGGACAGGGCATTTGCCTTCTTTTTTCGTCCCCACCCCAGGGGATTTGACTGCTCAACAGTCCCCACCCTCGGGAATTTGCCATCCAAGGCAAAAAAAATGCCAATGCCCGGGGGTCAGCCGGAAGGGGGGGGGGGGGCTGGGCGCAGGTGGAATTGCCTGATGCATAAGACTTACAGGGTTAATAGATGTAGGAACAGTGTAATCTGTCTGAATGACATCACGAGCGGCTGAAAAGTGTCAATTTTTCTTAGCCATGTTTTTGACTTATTAGACTCCACAGGCCCGTAGCAAGCATAAAATGACTGGGGGGGCTGAGCGAGTGGCCCACATTAACTCCCCCTCCCGCTTCGGTCCCTCGGTTAAAGCATACTTCTTGGTACATGTCAGATCACTACATTTATTTTGTCTACAATACCTTTTGTTCTTGTCTCTAATTTTCCGTTTGTGTTGACTTTGACGAAAGAGAGAACTTGTTTGGGATATCGTTCGCGGAAGATTTGCCAAACAATTGCTTTTGGTTTTCTTTCTCCCAAACGAAGTCATTAGCTACGTCTACAAGGGTCAGAACATCTGTTCCTTCCTTGTGAACATGCAACATCATGAGGTGGTTCAGGTGGGATTGTCATTGGTGCATTTCGATCCATTTTGCTTCTGGATATTTTGATGCCTAATAAGCAGATATTTTAAAGCTATTGGTTGTTTTTGAAAGAGCAAAAATACGATTTCGTTCATTTACACAATTCCAAATTGCACAGAAGAACAACAGTGCATAATGTTACCATGATCGACAATACTTTGAAACTTTAGCTTCCATTGACAGTTGTCCATTTTAGTAGAAAAATTCCACTTTTGTAGCAGAATTTAATTCAAGTCTGAAAATTTCTGGGGGGGCTCGAGCCCCCCCTGCCCCTCCCCCTGCTACGGGCCTGCTCCATTCCTACCTATGGCTTGGCCAGTTTCATCAGCGTGTGCTCCACAATCAACATCCTCCTCCATTTCCAAGTGATTAGAATCGTCTTGTTGAAGTTCGTCTTTTCTTTTGTCTTCACCTTTCAGTTCATCAACATTATAAGGCCTTTTCTTTGATTTTTTATTCTTCTTGTTGCATGAAAATTCCTTCGAGAACAGTCTTAAAACTGCGGTACTCAAATCCCTGTTAAATTCTTGAACGGGATTGTAAAAGACCGAATTGGAATCAGGGAAACACATTTCTGCTTTACCCTCAGTTACTTTCACAGCGTTTTCCAGCTCCCTCGAAGCCATTCCTAAAAATTTCCTTCACAAAGAATTGCAAGTTTTAAGTTGTACAGAGTATTCTGCAAAAAAGGCTAAGAAAAAACATGAAACAGCTACAGTGTAGAGTCAGCCGCCATGCTGAATTTTTTTAAACCTTCGCTCCTACTGGCCAGTGGTCAAAACATACTTCCGGTTAGGTTATTCATATAAGATTATTATAGTGTACTTAGTGTCTTGAATCATATGACAGCCTGAACCTGTAAGTTAAATTCGATATCGGAAATTTCTGGCCATGATCCAGATTTCAATTATAGGTCGTTAAAGCCTAAAATCGCTTAATGACTTGCTTGTTTCCTTTGAATTCAGAAACCTAATGGGGTGTAAGGAACAGATGAGAGGAGAGAGAAGAGGGAGGAGTCGGATGAAAACGCCAGCAGCTATGCAGAACGCCATATGTTGCGTAGGGGCCCCGGTTTTCTTTTTTAGGGTCCCAGTTTCTTTTCCGCTCTTTCTCGTGCCCCTCTCGTTCACATTTGAACTTAAGTCTCAGAAAAACATGTTTTAAGTTTGGTTGTGAACTGCTTCATTGATTCATTGTTAGATCGACAAAGTTATTACAAGGAAGTTGTTGAGCAATGTGTGGTTATCCCGGCAATACCTACCAGTCTATAACCTGACTGACTTCAAAATTCTTGTTTCAACTTCAAATCGGGGCATTTTATTTCTAACCAGGCGAAACCCTCAAAATCGGAACTGGTGCTAGACCACAAAGACGACTTCCTTTAAAAAGCAGCAAAAAAGAAAAAAGACAGCCAAAAACTTGTCTCAAATCAATAACCAAATCGTCCAAAGTTTGTTTAACTCGCTTGCCAACTCCCATCTCGGTTCTTAACTCGGTTGTTAGTTTAACTCCCCATACTTTCACTAGCGCGGTCTAACTTTTATGCTATGCTAATGGGATGAATCTTTTACGCTCGTTTCTGTGTCGGTACTTTTTCCGTACAAAAGATTCTCACGAGTGTTTGCGAAAAATATAACTAACCTTCGGGGCACTATTGGCAACTTTTGACTATTATATTATCGGCTTCTTCCGTTTCCGTTAAATGTTCGTGTTTACTTTAAACATTAGTACCATCACACGCTATCGGGAACGCTAAAAATGTTTTTGCCAAATGGCGCACACTCTACTGAACAATCTTGCCATCCTTCGGCGCTACTTTCGGTATTTTTCGACCGCAATAGTCGACTACTTCGGCTTGCGTTTTTATCGTTACCAAGAAAGCGTAAAATGATACCGAAGTCGCTTTGCGCTTATGCTTTGGCCGAATTGCGTACACTATTATGAACATTATCGCCATCCTTTGGGATACTGTCGGTAACTGGCGACCTCTATCGACTACTTCTGCTTGCATTAATCTTCGTGTTTAATCACTATTAATTCAACTGCAGACGCGCGCTATCTTAATATGCCTTTGGCAAATTGCGCACACTGTAAGGACGAAGTCCGCCCCTTTGGTTACTGTCGATAACTTGCGACAAGTCAGTACTTCAGCTTGCATTTTTGTGCGTGTATACTAACTATTATGCCTTTGTCTTCGTGAAATTGCACACACTGCAATAAACATTCCGTTTATTCGTCCATCATTTCTTTCTATCAATTTCGTTTATTCTAATCAATACCTCAATGCTCCTGTGACTAAATATCATTTGCTTGTAGTTTGCTTGAGCTACCTGGAGTTAGTTCTTTCACAGTGATGTGTTACTCTTCCAATCGTCTTTCATCAGCTTATCGAGTCTCTAACATTTGCACACTTTCGTCTCCATGAATGTCGTTAATTTGCGTTGCTTTTGTCGGTCGCTCGGTATGCAAAGTTCGGTCTTGACTGTCCGCGTACTCCTTTACACAAATTCTCTTTACCATCCTTGCGCCCTTTTGGCGTGCAATGTACATCAGTGTCCGATTGAATCATCACTTTCCTGTTCAGTATATCTTGAAGATCCGTAAGTGCCGGACTAATCCCTAATAGGGAAAATAACAATTTTTGTTCGTTATCATCGATGTTTGCGCGCTCCCGCAAAACGTCGAGTATGAGTTCGTGTCATCCATAAATCTTAATATGGCCTCTAGCTATCACCATCTTTAACCAAATCTGTTCACTTGTAATAGTTGCTGAATATTCTCTTAAACATTAATGTTTTTATATTAAACGTTGTTGTAAAATTTACGCAGTCGTGAAAAATTACGCATTCTCTTTTGATGTCTTGAGTGTTATAGTCAAAGTTTACTTACATTGCATTCAAATCAAACTTTGGGGAGTTTTAACATAGGAAAACCTCATAACTTCCCTTTCAAGATGCACTGTCTTAATCTTTGAAATCTTGCTTCAGTATCAATTTATCCTGAAATTATTACGTATATGTAACTTTCCATCGCACGCTTTCATAAACGTGCGAACTCGCATAAAAAACTTCGTAAACTCTACAAAACCGTTACCCAGTCTCACTTATCATCTTTCATTCTCTATATTATCGACTGTCTTCTCGGTTACTTCGCTTCGGCTTCAATGTAATCATCGCGAAATCATTTAGATTATTTTAGTGACAATTACAGTTGCAAAAAATACCTTGATATGTTTTAGTATTCAATACTCATTAAATCGAGTTGTGACTGTGATGACTGGAAGCAACTAAGCACAAAGCGGCAACCCGGAAACTGATGAGGTTCGGCTGGCGAACCGAAACCGTCGTCTTCCCTGGTCACAAAGTTATTGCCAAGGGAGGAAATACGCGCTCCATGTCCAAAGACTTGCATTATCTTTAGAAAAACAAGCTGTAGTTTAAAAATTATTGCTTAAAGAGCAATCTTGACCGAGTCACAATGCAATTCTCCATAGTTGGTGCAGCTTCAATTTAAGCAGCAATCCATTCTTGGAAATTTTATGGTGGCCAATATGGACACTAGACACAAAAAATAGATGGCAACGTACACAAACTTAACAAAATTCGTGCAAACTTAAACTTAATACACGTGCGCAGGAGCCTAATAAAGAACATGCAAACTTTATAAAGAGCATGAAAACTTAATAAATATTATGCCAACTTAACAGAATACATGTAAACTTTATAAAGAGCATGTAAAGTTAATAAATAGCATGCAAAATTAACAAAACACATACAAACTTTATAGTATGCAAAGTGTCTGCGAACTTAACAGAACACATTCGAAGTTAAAAACAAGCAACGCAAACTTAACACGTGCAAACTTTATAAAGAGTACGCAAACTAAATATAATGTGCGAAAACTTAATCAAGTGCTTGTAAATCTATTAAAACGTGCGCAGGCTTAAATCACCGGCAAACTAAAAAAAATGGGTGCAAAGTTAGTACATGTCAAAACTAACAAACTTAATAGAATTCGCCTAGACTTCGAAGCGTTATAAAGTCATGACAAAAAAATGAAATGAAAAAGTTACCAACTCAGTAAAATTAAGATAAACTTATGCTGCACACTGGACACAAATAATAGATTGCAAAACGTGCACAAACGTAAAGCACTACTGATCATTCTATGTAAATAGTGCTAATAATCATACTTAATATACTACGCGTGCAAACTTAAAACAGAACACATGAAAACTTATGAAGAGCGCGCGTCCCGTAACAGAGCACACGCAAACTTATAAATAGCACGCAAACTTAACAAAACACATGCAATCTTAATAAATAGTATGCAAACTTAACAGAACACATTTAAATTTAATAAATAACATGATTACTTTAATAACAATACACGTGCAAACTTAATAGAGAGCATGCAAACTTTAAGTAGCGTGCATACTTCATACTTAAGTATGCGTACAAAGTTATACACAGAATGCAGACGTAACAGAACAGATGCAAACTTAATAAATAGCATGCATATTTAATAATACGCGTGGAAACTTATAAAGAACATGCAAAATCAACAGAATAAATGCAAACTTAATTAATAGCATGCATACTTAATAATTCGCGTGCAAACTTACCATAACCGAGAAAGCAAGCAAACTTAGCAGAACAAATACAAACTTTATAATATGTGCGAAAACTTAATCTAGTGTACGTAACTGAATTGATAAAACATGCGCAGTCTTAAGAAATTACCGGCAAACTAAAAAAAAGTGAGTGCTAAGTTTACATTTCAAAACTTACAACTTAATAAAATGTGCAGGGACTTTATAAAATACTTTCAAGCGTAATAAAGTGAAGGCAAAATATATGAAATGAAAAAGGTACCAACTCAGTAAAATTAATAGTCCAGTCAATCTAGGCATGTAAGAGGCTCAACATCAAACTAATTGCAACGAATTGTTTTCAGCGCCATGTAAGTAAGGGTAGACTATCTAGCAACATACTAAAAATCCGCCAAATTCCGTTCGGTGGAGCATGTCAAAATTAAGTGTTTTCATTTTGAACTTTTAACACAGGACACCCACGTTAATTGACATTATACGCCCAAACGAAAAATGCACAAAATGTCTTTTCACTTTTGCAGAAAACTTAAGGAAAAAAAGAATAACTACTACCTAGTTTTCGGTGATAAAAACTACGTTTTTTTTTCAAAAATGATAAATATTATTCACAGTTGCCTATTGCACAGGAAGACCATGCTGCACTCAAGGAACACCAAAGTAACGGGGCTAACAAAGTATTAAAATTACGACAAGTTTAGTCGAAGGCTTTAAATCTAAAAAGACCAAAGCCGTTGCTTAATTATTTGCTTTTAAAATAAAACCCTTTTTATCAGATTTCTGTTAGCTGCTTAGGTGAAAAAAAAAAATATATATATATATAGTTGGATTTTTGTACTATAACTTTACATCCAAAATCCCTCCCATCGAACAAAAGTGCTCATCGCCCGGAGATAAAGACTGATAGATTTAGGAATGTTTTTGTAAACAGGCTTATTTTTAGATATAATCTTTGATCTTTCTATTATTTGTATACAGTATGTCTTATGTATTTTTAGACTTACAACTGCTGATGTAACTTAAGATATATCTTGTTATATTAGGAGGAATAAAGATTGATTGATTGATTAAACAGTGTTTGTTTTCTCGTTCAAATGCCATCTTCAAAGAATTCGACATAAAAACTAAGGGTGTAGGCACTGCTTTTTTTTATTCTCCTCCTTTCTTTCTCCTCGCTCTTTCCACTTTTTTCTTTTCCTTTCAGTGGTGTGATTTTCGGGCTTATCGGAGGCAAAAAAAACTTGCCGCCGGATTTTTTTTTCTCAGTCAAACGGCTGTACTTTTCGATTGGTACGTTTTAAAAAATACTTTTTGGCTTTTGTTACCTGTACTGTAATGAGCCAACCAAATTGTTGAATCACCTTCTTCACCCGAGACACTCAAGTCAGTCGAGTGTGAATCTTCTTCCACTATGTAAACTATCGAAAATACCTGGAAAATGGTCATCCATGCAAAAATATTCCATAGGCATTTACTTTGCCAGATGCTAACGTTGTGTCATTAGCATATGGATTAATATCTTAGGGCCTCGTCAAGCGTTCCTTTCCCACGTGGAGTACTTAGGAGACTAACATGTACAAGGAATTCCATTTTTCCGACTCGTTTTCAGACCTGGCCTCTAAAATCCCTACTCGTTTTCAGACCTGTCCCCTAAGGATTTAATTAGATAACAACAGCAACAAAATAATTCTTAAAATCCATTTCGAATTTGCATATTTCTCTTTAAACGAAAAATACGTTCATACAGTCCCGTACGTAGTTGCCTCAAAAACCATTACCCGTTTTCAGACCAAAACGGCCCAAAAACCCTACCCTTTGCCTTGTTTGGGGCGGCACATACCTACGTGGCTTATATAGCTGGAGCACCAGAGGGTACCCCTTATTTCAAGTAACAGGAATGATCGAAGGGTTTTTTTGGTTAGGAGAATTTGCGATTAATAAAATTTTTTGAGTATTTAAAACAATCTGAAGATTCGTGATAGAGCCGGCATATCTCAGCCGCGTATTCTCTGCGAATATAGTTCAACCAAACTTTAATGTTTTGTTTTCTGGAAATTTTTAAGGCTCGGAAATTCTGCATGGGATTTTTGGGGGGTTAAAATTGGTGCACGGAATTTTTGTGGTTTTTCCGGAAGCCCTAGGGATTTTTTGGTTGTGGACTTTTGCCCCCATTCGATCATGCATCCCCATCACTTGAAATCTAGTGTACCCCAGCCCCTCTGGGAAGAAAGCCTTAACGACACAAAGGCACAAGGGCCATTCTTAACGTAAAATCTGTTGAAAAGCGAAGCTTCCCCATTCTCGTCCCCAGAGCCACTCGGCTTATTTCAATACCACGTGACCAAAAGAAAGGATGGACTTTGGGGGTAACTTTGCAAAAACCCTTTGGATCAGGGAAAATCCTAAAAAGCGCCTGTGTATAAGTCAGGCTAACAATCCGGGTATTTCATTCTTCTTGAGTGAATACGCCGGTTCTCAACTCTTGTACTAAAACCACTGCTTCAAGAAAACATTTGTTTTTAGTCGAAGCTTATTGGTGGGTTAGTTTTATACGGTTTCTCCTACCCTTGTGTACGAAAGTGGTGGGAGGCAGGGAGGGGGAGTAAACTGGTGACATAATGCCAAGAATATCCGCAATCCCCGCGATGAACAACCGCATAAGGAAGCTCTCTAGTCTCAGGACTAGTCTTCTCGCGGCTCTAAAAAAATGAGATGACAGGAGAAGGAAAACGCTGGAATCAAGATCACCTCATTTGACTAAATCCACCAGGGGATACTTCTTCTGTCATTTCTCATTCAATTTAGGGTGCGTTCGATCGATCGTATTCCGAAATAGCAATACGCAAAAGTTATGTTGCAAATCTCTTTTGCCGTAATTTTTGGACCACTTGCACAATACAAACAGCGGAATATTTCATTTCTAGCAGATTTCTAGATATTGCAATGCAATGAACGCCAAAAATAAGTGATTTCTAGAGTTTAATCCATTTACTTTTATCCACGGTCAATAGAACACGCCCTTGGTAATCTCAGTGAGGTTAATAAACCATCATGAATTTAACTTGTACAGAAATTTAAAACTAAATCATGAAATATTCTGGTATATGAAGTCAAATGGTGTCGTTATGAAAAGGGCCTGTTGAGCGCTGCGTTTTTTTTGGGGGGGGGGATGTTGTTGTTGTTGTTTATCATTTCTTTTGGTGAGAGAGTCTACAAATGAATCAAACATATAAAGGAATGAAGACAAATTTTATTCTGTTTAGGGGACAAAAGTGAATGCAAAACGATGGCATAAATGAAAAAAGAGTTTTCCGCGTATCACGTTTTAAGTTTTCCATGAGCTCATTCCATCTGCCATAAGACCAGGGAAGAGAGGAAAGAATACAAAAGCTGTAAAACCGTTACATCACTCTTTTGCGTGGTGCCGAGACACTGCATCAAGTATTTTCATTTCAGTATTTTCCAAATCACCTTATCCTATACCAATCCATGAACTATTACTTTTTATATCCTGTTACTATATCCTTGGCTAAAAATCTGTCAGGAAAGACTTGACATTTCCTCACAGTCATAACACTCCACTCAAAAATTATATGCTGGGGTGAGGTCATCAAAACATTGGCAAATGTACCAATCAGTGTACTTAATCCTCACTCATGGAACCGCTGCGAGAGCCAGTTGATGAACCAGACATGGAGCGCGTACGCAGTGTGGGAACTGCAAAACAAAACAAATGAGAAACAGGAAGTATACGAATGTTGTAATGGAGTTTACTCCTTAAATATGGTTTTTGAATTGAAGATCATTTGACACCACTCCAGTCAAAGTGTATTCTCTTTCATAACTGGTTATATCAATGCTTGCATGCACTCTTTCCATTCAACCATAATACACTAAAAATGCGCAAACGGCAAACAAAACGATTATTTCTTGTGCTTTGGTTTGCCAAAATTTCCACAAGAGTACAGATGTATAACCTCACAAAGTGAAAGAAAAAAATCTCCAGAAAAGAATGTCTGATCTAGAGAAATGCATAAAGGGCGAAACCTTTCCTCCCTGGTGGAATAATTGGTTTCAGAGTGCAAAAGAACAGGTGTACATGATCAGCATACGTAAACGAGTGTCTCACTGACCACTTAATTCACATACATGAAACAATCCACGTCAAGTACATATGACTTCAGAGTTAATGGCAGCATTGCACCTTCATGTAAGCCATAAAAGAAAAGACTCCTTATTTGTTCCGACTTTACAGCGCTCATTAACTTCACTGATATCATTCAGCAAGCACAATCTTATTCCTGTTAACAATCTTATTGGTGTGAAACTGTGAAAGGCTTGAACCCAGGAGTCATTTCAAAAGTAGGTTGAGTTTGATCGTCCGGGTGAACGTAGTCCTGAATAGGACTGTTGTTGTTGACAGTGACTGACGTTTCGACAACCTGTGCGGTAGTCATCTTCAGAGTCAAAGGGAGTTGTATCACGTCAGTTGATGGTATTATAATCTGGTTATTGATCTGATTGGTCAATTACGTCGCGATGTAATTGGTCGTCTGTCAGTTACGCCGTGATCTTAATGGCTATGAAGACTCGTAATCAGTAATTGGTGCGTTTCGATCCGTCTTACCCAGGCCAAGTCCTTGAATAAAAAGGAGCAATCCTTCAGCCATCTTCTCGGGCTAAAGGTGAAAAATGCAGAAGAATTAGATTATTGATTTTTTTTTCAGCAAATTATCTACTGAAACTTTTCCAATGCAAAAAAATTAACAGTAGGATATCAGCCCAGAGTCAATAATATTGTGGTAAGAAACTTCTCCCATGATCAAAAGTTACTGTCAAGAAGGTCAACACATTTCACCATTCCTGATCTTCCCTCCATGTTCTCCTTCCCCTCTGTACTAATGTTAAATGTGCATTTAGTGTGCAGCATCGTAACTTTGAATAGTGGTAATGAGGGATACTTAGCAAACGACTGTTACGGAATGATGATTATGAAAGGGAACATCAAGAAAATGAACAGCAAAAGTGAAAATAGTGACTTTTGGTTAAAGCACGGTTTTAAAGTGTACGATATTCACCATTTTCTCATGGACCACAATGCGTCCTGTTTACCCCCCAAAGCTTTGCATAACCATTGTCTTAGATTTCTCTTGGGAGGACTGTTATACCCAGGAGAATGGTTATGCAAAATTCTGGGGGGTAAACAAAGAGCATTATGGTCTATGTAAAAGTAGTGAATTGTATTATGGCCACATTATTACTATTATTTTTATTAAGCACAATAGTCCCAAAACTTGAACTCTTTTATTTATGAAAACAGCTTTTTAGCACTAAGGCATTTTCCTGTATTAAGGTAAGCACCAAAGTCCTTGTTTCTTTTTAACAAAATATTTTAAAGAGAATGGGGAAATGACACAATAAGCTGATCTACCTTTTCTTCCAGAACACTAGCTCCACAATCAGGTGTTAGCAAACTCTTGATTTTAACATCAGTTTGTTTCAATACATCACCATAATAGAATTTATCTTCCTAAAATGACAAACCAGCGACTTTCAGTACAAGTACAGTCGACTCTCTCTTAACGGACACCTCTGTAAGACGGACACCTCTATAAAGCGGACACCTAGAGTTGGTCCCTGCCTTTCTTTACTCCCTTTATTTGACTCTCTATAAGACAGACACCTCTCTAAGACAGAAACTTAGTGCCGGTTCCAAAGGTGTCCGTCTTAGAGAGAGTTGACTATATGACCAAATCCTCTAAATTAAGTAGTTTTTGCCATTTTAAGGCTTCTCCTTCCTTAGACCCAAATAACTTAAGACCAGAATAAATTCCTTGCCAGGTAGGATAAGAATACAGCACGGACCTAATAATCATTATCACTTGATGCAAATTTTTCTTCCTTTTCATTGGCCGCAAGCCCACCACATGACCTGTAAATAACTGCCCGCAAATAATAGTCTGCTCATGTGCAATGTTGTCCAGCTGTGTTCGGCTACTAATAATATTCTGCTCATGCATAAATGAAACCATGCATTTCTCCTTCTTGTGATCACTCTTGTGTGAAAATGGCAGCTTCCCGAAAATATTTATCAAAAAACAAACTCGCTGACTGAATGATAAAACAATCGCAAATCGATTATTTGCCTCAGTCTTTGGCTTCTGCAAATAATATTGATCTGCTCACTACTGACAAAACACAATATTTTGCTCAACCTCGTCCAATGAGATCACAGGGCAGCAAGTGACAACGAACCGAAACCATTGTCTACTTGCAAAACAATAGTCACGTTGTGCTGCCTAGAACTAGCGTGCGTACAGAAGCACACCAGGGACTATTGCAGTAGGCAGGAAACCTCTTGCCAAGGCTGCCAAGATAAGCACACAAACTGAATTACCGTGAGTTCTTTAGAATTTATGCAAATTTGAATGTCTAATTTTCAGAACTGAACTGGAACAAAATGTCACTACTGCCATTGGAGGTGTGCAAAAGAATAGTGAGGACAATATGCACATTGATATTAAGATCTAGATGATAATAAGGCAACAGTTATGCACTCACAGTATCCCTGCGATGAGGAGAATGTTCTCCTGTCACCACGAGGACACCTGTCTTTTCACTGCAACAAATGCAAGCAGCTGTTAAACATTTTTTAGTTACTGCTTAAAACTAAAATATAGCAAAAAACACTGGCTACAGACCACTACGAAATATTACTAATTAAACATCAGCACCCCCCCCCCACCCCCTCCTAGTCTGCTACACAGCCATTTTTAGTGTCGTTGCGCAACGCTTCTCCCTACTAACGGCTGCTGAAAATCGAACCACATTGACCTTTCCGGCGATTAACCAATTAGAATTCAGCTCCCATTTCCTGGAAGGTGTTCATGTCACGTTTGCGGTATGGTGACTCCTCCAATCACAGCTTTGCTTTTATCGGTGCCCCATGTGTGAATGACAGAACAATCAAAATCGTCGTGTAAAAACAAGTAATCAACTAGAGTAGTGTTGTCGTAGTCGAGTCCTTTCAAAATTTTTGAGATAAGCGGCAACAGTAAGCAAGTCAAGCAAATATGATGCACAAAATGGATGTGCTTATAAAGTTGCCCGGTATAGTTTCGGGAAATTGCTTATCGATAATTTTTAAGTTTGGTTTTGTTTTAATCAGTACCCCTGAGACTTTAATCTTCACATGTACAACAACACAATGAGCACATCTGCCACATGAAATTCATCATACATATGCACGTTAAAAAGAACCAACCAATCCTGGTAAGAGTCTTGTAGGCCTATCAAACCTTTTTTTTTCACTTGGAATTTTGCTAACTGCTTAAAACAAACTCTTCTGCAAATAACCTTTTCGCTGCTTGCAGACACAGAGCCCATCAAAATTCAGCGACGATTGATTGATCTGTCGAAAACTGAGAAGCATGTTCGCTCCTAGTGCCTTGCGGCTCACGTATTGTCAAGTTTCTTATACATGATTGGTTTGTTTGTTAGACCACAAACACAAAGGGAAAGGAATGTGGTTTGATTTTCAGCAGCTGTTAGTGGGGAGGAGCGTTGCATGACGACACTAAAAACGGCTGTGTAGCAGATTACACCCCCCCCTAAAAAAAAATAACACACTATCAGAATGAAAATGTATTTAGTGCGAGTCATAATATGAGTATTTATATAATTATACAACACAACAACTTTAACATCCAAGTACAGTAAAGTGAACAAACTTACTCGAGCTTGTGTCCTTTCATGTCCTTCACCAGATCATTCCGGCTGAAACACAGCAAACCAGGAATAGCGGAATTATTACAAGGAATCCCTAAAGCTCAGCTTTTAGACAAACAGGAAGTTTGCTTTTGAACCCAAAGAACACAGAACTATACTACAATTTATTTTAGCAATGTTTGAGAAGTTAATGAAAAGTATGTAGTATGGGCTGAGAACAAAAGACACTGGAGCAGTACATATTTCATGACAATGTACTGCAACTCACACTTTATTTATTTATTTTGTTTTTGAAAAGGCATTTTGAAACACATAACTTTAACACTGGACTTGAAGTAATCCAGGTTTTTTGACAGTTGGAGATGCTATTACTTACAAGAACATCTTATGCTTAGTGTTCCTTTCCATTTCCTTTTTTAAAAGACATGCAATCACCTGTTATAGGCGTTTACAAATGCAGCAACATTGTGTGCATTCATGTTCTCCTTCACATCTTCAACAAACCGATCCACCAATTCCTCAGATGGCTTTCCAGTGTCCTGCCATCAAAAAGAAAACATCTTCAAGGGATGTCCACAGAAATAGCTAATTAACATGAGCACTAGCCTCAGTAACAGTGGTTAACAAAAGTTGTCATTGGCATATTCTTGCTAGTCTAGATGGTCTGTCAATTGTTTCATAAAAAATGTAAATGTAAATGATTTGCTTAGGTGTAAGTACAAAGAATGAAGATGTTGTGACCTGTGGAAATACAATACATCCTGATAATTTATTTCATATCTTTCGCAGGTTAAAATGAACTCAACAAATTGGCCTCTTCCCAATATATGGGGGTTTGTAGTTCAGTTGGTAGAGCGCTGTACATAGCACTTACGCAGAGACCATGGGTTCAAATCTCTTTGAAGGCCCAATTTTTTTTTTTGGGGGGGGGGGGGGGTGCTTAACTTGTAATTGCTTACAGCTGTAAACTGCTATTACAACTGCAACAGTCTTATCTTCACTGGAAGTACAGCAAGTTTGACTTGCTGACTATTTGAACCAGCTGCCCCCTACTAACAATCTCCACGCTGAACTAGTTCTTCCTAACATCATCAATTCTCTATTTTCCAATTCCCCATAATACACTCTGTTTGCCCCCCAAATTTTGCATAAACCATTGTTTTTAAATGCTCCTGGGAGTATTGCATTTTCCCAAGAGCATTTTAAGACAATAAGTTATGCAAAATTTGGGGGGCAAACAGAGTGTATTATGGGGAATTGGAAAATAGAGAATGCCTTCTTTCTTACCCTCTCAAAGTGATGCCACATGAGATAGTTAACAGTACTTTCTGTGAATCCTTTCTTGTCAAGTTGCCTTGTTTTAATCTAGAAGGCAATAAAACACTCATTTGTTATGTACACTGTAGGGGAAAAAAACGTTGGAAACTTAGTACAAAAAAGACTCTTGTTAGAGCTCCAATCAGTTTGTAATGTCCATGTCTTTACATGGAAGGCAATTTATATTAGTGTATGATGGGAGGTGCTGAGATTGTGGTGTGCCAACAAGACAACATTAATTTTTCAAAAAAAAAGGAAAACAAGTAAGTAAAGGGCAACTAAACAAAGGTGATGATTGGTGATAGGAATTCTTACCTTTCCTTCACCCCATTCTTTGAAAGAAGAAGAAGAAATGCCTGGTTCTACCACAACAAGTCCTGCTATTTTACTTCCCCACTTTGAAACCTTTTGAAAGAGAAATTCCCACTTGTTAAAATTCAAATTTTGTACACCTAAAGGTAATTAAAGTGGGGGAATATTATTGGTCACATCTAGTTCTAGGTTAAACAGGTTCTTAACCTAAATTGAATTGGTGAACCACATTTTACCCAAGCAAAATATGTATTTAGCGTTCGTTCAAATTTAATGTTTCCTAAGCTTTCTATGCAAAACATGCATGGCTTTGATCACGCAACGATTCTTAGTCCCAGTTTCCATGGTCTCCGCAAGGAACACCTGGCACAATGATCCCCTTTTTGTGTCCTAAATACGACGAAAAATGCGTAGCAGATTATGAATCTCGCTGCTTACGCAAGCAAGGGAAAGACTACATGTAGAGAAACCAGTTAGAGGCAAAAACAATCACCCATGAACTCCCAGGATCCCTAACAGCACAAAAGACAATAATATCATTATGATGGGAATGATAAAATTGTTGCTTATCACAAACTCGGGCATGGGTAAAGCCATGAGTGCTTTCCATTCAAACCAAAATTCTGGAAATTTCAGTTAGTACATCAAAATAATGGAACGGACCATTTGGGTTTGGTCTGACTGGAATATTCGGGACCAGCTTTGAAGGTCGTCCTCTTTGACTGGTCTGGTCATTTCGGTCAGTCGGACCGAAATATCCCTTTCAATTTGTCAAAATTGTTGCCCCCAGTACCACTGTTTTGAATCCTGCTTACAAGTACAATAACCATTAGAGAAATGGTGGCTTGGGTCAGGTTTGTGCAACCGGAATGTACCGTTCCATTGGGCATGTGGAATTTCCCAAATATAAAACCGGAATTTTTGTTGAATGGAAAGCACCCCATGTTTCAGATCCTCCTTGTTCATCCAACACTATCCCACACAATCAAGGATATCTGCTATTTTAAGTTTTCATTTTTGGGCAAAATCTAGGATAGTCAGAACACAGTGAAATCCCCAATAATTATCCAGGATTTTCCTAACATATGAAAATGTAGCTTCACCAAAATTGGCCATACATGAAAAATCATTTTTAATCAACGACAAGTTTTAATACTTACAGCCAGTTCTGTGAGAACATTTGCTCCTGCACCAACACCAAAACAAACCATATCACTTAAACTGTTACAAAAACAAATAAGAAACCTCAATTCATAACATTTAACTCTTTAGTTCCAGCCTTATTAGGGTGAATGTGTACATGTATGTGACATGTACAGCTGTACATTTTTCACTTAAGGTGAAGACTCAGAGTTAGCAGTAATGGCTGCGGTCGCACTAAGGTTTACCTCTAGAGTAACAGCAGTGTAAACATATCTGTTTACGTTTCACTAAAAACACTAAATTTACTGTTTTAGGGTCACATTTCCTTGGCATAAGAATTAATTTTTTTTGACTTGATGACAGATGGGTGATGAATATGAGATTTCAAGTTTTATTTAAAAGAAAACATAATACAGGATCAATGCATTCTCGTGGCAAGTTTAGTTGGGATTTTAATCTAATTTTAATTTCTTGTTTACAAAGTGAAGGCTATTAAAACCCTCCATGCCTTGATCATGAAGCTTGCCTTACAATTATGTCAATTGTTGACTCGGAGAAGACAGCTCCTTATGTTTGCCTTCAAGGTTAGGGAAACACAAAGAATGGCTCACTGGAGATGACCAATTTAGGCCTATCCACGTTCACGGAGATGTCAAATAACCATGGGCCTTCTTCCTTAACTGTTGGTCCTACAGGCGAATAAAAATTTTGTGCAAAACTCTCATTTTTGCAATACAGATTTAGCGTTTTCCTTTACGTGGCTACGAGTTGGGAAATGACCCGAAATGTAATCCGGGGTAGTAAGCGCAGCGGTTTCTGGTCCTTTTTCTGATTGGCTTAAGAGCAATTAACTTTGGCGTAAACACTTCTCTACCATGCTTTTGAGTGTGGTTTACAGCGTGGTAAATTTCCTTTCTAGATGCCACGTTACCCAAGCAACTAACACTTACACCAGAAGTGCAAAACAAGTCGGTCGCACTGAAAACACTAAAACACTGAAAAGCACCATTGCAAACAATGGTTTTTAACCCTAGTGCGACCACAGCAAATATTCTCTTCTAAAAAGGATGTGATGTGGAAGTCACAAACAGAATTGACTTTTCTGTAACAGACTTACTTGAAATGGTCAATTACATTTCCGACCATCTCTCCTAGCCTGGCCATGCTTGGGTATTGATAACTAAAAGACAGCAATTGAAAAATCACACACATGTTATTGTAACTAATTATTAATGCATGATAATGCATCTTTTAGTGCATGTCACTAACAAAAACATATCAAATAAAGCTGTTATTGCCACATCCTTGAGGTGCATGGAGAAAAAAAGGAAAGGCAAATCCTTTTTGCAAAATTATACCCTCCAAAAAGTCACTCCAATATTTTAATCAAGAACAACAACAACAAAACCAGCTAACATGAAGATCATGCAGACATTTTTTCAGAAAGGATCACATATAAGCAGCCTGGTTCCAGAACTAGACAGAAGGCTAAGATTAACACTGAGCCAAGACTGGCTTATAGCAATGATAGCAACTGTAAAGGACATCTTCACTTTGTGCCTTACAAGACAGCATGCAAAGAAAGGTATGTCCGATAGCCCAGGGCTAGTGGGTTTTGCTATCAGGCTTCTGAGGCTAGTGAATTCAGTTCTTAACTTCCCTAATCGGCAAATGAAGTTTTTCAGGGAATTTAGAAGACAAAAATTTGGGGGGGCTAGTTAAAAAATTAATGATTCTTAGGCTAATGCAGCTTGCCCGAATGGCAAGCTGTAAAACTGACTTTCTTTGCACCCTGTAAGATCACATCCTACATGTAAGTTTCTCAAAATGAGCATGTTTTCTCAATTTCACAGTATTTATGATGACCAAAAAAACAAACAAACAAACAAAGCTGTAAGACTCTAAAGATTAATTTTTTCCATAGCCTGGTCACAATATTTTTTTCAAATTTACTAGACCCAGACATCACTTCCGTTGACAGGACACTGGTGGTAAAAACATTGTAATTTAAGAAAACAAGTTGTGGTTTATTCAAGAAACTTAATTATGTACAAAAGTTTATTTTCGTAAACCACAACGTCAATTTGTTTCTTTCAGTTCCTTATTTATAAGCATTACTAATACTGTACTTACTCAGAAGCCAGGTTTTCTGCCTTGCTTTCCTGCAAACAACAACGAATTTTCAAATATGTATTGCAATATTTTTGAGCTGATATCTATGTCCAAGGATGCAGACACCATTCTTTGAAAACCACAGAAAACCCAAACACAGATGTAAACAGACTTCACTATGGAGCAAAATCTTAAAAAAATTTCATTCACTATTGTTAAGCTACACCTGGCACATTCAACACACATTTCAGTTGTGACTATCCAAAATTGGCATTGCCTCCTTCCCTAAAAAAGGGAGGCCACGTTGCAAAAACTTCAAAACATCTGCAGATCCTTACAAGAGCAATGAAACTGGTCTTGAGCTATCTTAGGTGAACAAAGGTATGTAGGTAAGGTAGAATCCAAGACACAGTGAGAAAAAGCAAAACCATTGAAAGGGTAATCAACTTCCTAATTGTCTTCTCTAAAGTCTTCTGGAGGAAGAATTCCAACTTGTGCTTTTGAATTATAGACCTAATTCTTTCTGATGTGTGCTCATAAATTGTATAAACCATAAAAAAACATCAACTCAAATAAACATTTGAAGGCAAATCAAGCAAGCAGTTACTTTCTATATGACCGTGGCATGCTGGCATACTTTCTTACAATTAATAATGTACATGAAAAAATTTCTTGAATCTGATTTCCTGAGAGCATTGCATTTTTTTAGTGGACATAGTGCAAAAATGACAAAACAAAATGCAAAAAGAACGAAATAAAATGCAAATTTCTCGGGGAAATGATTGGAAAACTGTGATCGGTTAATAAACAATAGAAATATATACGAACCAATCAGGTGCCTCAATTTGCTGTTGGAAAGCTGGCCGGTGCCTTGGAGTTTGCGAGGGGAAAAATTGCCAATGTACAAAGCCGATTTTAGTTCGGTCACGACAGAAACTACCATTAAAGAATTGAAAAAGACCTTTCACAAACAAAAACAATGAAAAGAGGACTGGATATTGAGTTGATGTTTGAAACAATTATTGTACAGAAGAGGAAAGATTCTCCGAGCAAATTGAGAGTTATGAGTCCGCCGACCTCAACAAACCGCTTGACCGAGTGTTCTGTGCTTACAGCTGTAGAATCACAAGTAATAAAAACAAACAAGGGGATAATTTTGAGCCCAAAAGTCTTAAAGTTATGACAACAGCTTTGAAAGGAACTAAAGACAACGGATATACCTGTCCCACTTGTGAACCAGGATTTGAGTACACACCATGATTTCCTTGTTAAAAATGGCATTGTCGATTTGTGAATCAGATTGAGGGGAAATTCAAAACACATTTCCAGTAATTTGTTGCATCCATTTAAGAGCCCATAGCAAGGATATAGACGTTGCTTTGCAGACGTTACTAACTAGGGTTAGATTAAACCTGTGATGCACACTAGGGTGAATTAATAACCCCTTAAGCGCTAAGAGTGATCAGCATCAAATTTCTCCTTGTAATATCAATGCTTTGTAAAACAGAGTGGTCATGAGACTTATGGACATGATCACACAAGATGAATTTGCTTGATATTTTCTCAGCTTCTCCCCACTACTTCTGTAGGAAATGAATAGCGGCAACAAATGAGAATTCAAATTTTGATCTTAGGGTTTAAAGGGTTAACAGTGATTTCCCTTGGGATTCCTTACCTGTCCTGGTGCATCAATGTGGTAGATTACAAAGCGATCCAAAAGGCCTACAATATCCTCATGCTGGAAAAATCTTTCAAAGCAAGTCTTATCTGCAGGAAAAGAAGTAAAATTTCTTGACTCTCTTAAACTTGTGTAATTCAATGAAAAGTTTCTTTTATGTATCCAAAAATAGCTCATAAATGCACAAGCTTTCAAAGCATCACTGGCCAAATGGTTAAATGAGAAAGCAGCAAAAAACGGAAGGAGTAAACACAATGAAAAGAGACTAATAAGTTTGACAACTGGCTAGAAATACTATGACAGAAAACAAGCTGAGATGAAACTGCAAGGACACACCCACAAGACAGTCTAGAAACTTGTTACTGATTGTTTTCTTGGTTCTTTCCGCATCACAAGTATATTCTTAGCAAAACTAAACCCCCGTCAATAGCTTTACTTAACAGGGCTTTTCTAACATTGTAGATGTAACATTGATGTAACATTGATGATGTGCAGTCTTTATATCACCAAAATTAATGCAATCACAAACAAGGTAGTTATTTAATTTAAATTAATCATGCATATTATTGATATGGCGTGCTTTGATTTATCACTGGCTATGCATCGCTCAATCGATGGTGCAATATACTAAATGACCCACCAGTTTATTCACTGATGCGCGAAGGTATTGCAAGCTTTGAGAAATATATACAGTATCTCAGTTCAATATTTCTTTCATTTTGTGATTTAGGTATACACAATGCAATCTTAATTTCCCTTAGTTATCCCCTCAGAAAATTGATCCAAACCTTTAGTCAAAGTTTGCGATTTCGATCCGTGAGAAGTCACGCATAATGATTAGCAAGATGGAGCAAGAATGGATCGGATGAGTCAGATTTCATAAGCTCGATGAAATGATAACTTGAATCAAAACGTTATTTATGTGAGTATGTGTTTCTCAGGATCCGTTCCATACAATGATACTGTATTACAGTGCTAGCCAACGCACAAACGCAATTAAGGAGCTCGGCCAAGCATTATTCCCACAGCTGATTTTTCACTCATGATTAGTTTTAGATATGCGATGCTACGTGACTGATCAACAGGAAGATGCATCATTGTTTTTGTCTAGTTCACAAGGTTAACAGTGACGCACGTTGGCCGTTGTTTTGCAGAAAATTCATACAACAATAGAATCTAGCAGTGGGGCTAATCTAATATCAGCATCGATAATAAACAGAAAAAATTTACATGAATTTTACCCACACCAACATCACTTACGATTCATCCCTACATCATGGAAGGTTATCATGACCTCCTTCTTCCTAATATTTTCCTTCTCGTCCTGTTTGTCCCTCGAATCTTCGCCCTAAGAAGGTCAGCGATCAACGGCGCAATGAGTAAGCAAGCGTAACAGAAATAACCCAAGTTTTTTAGCTTAACAAGCTCAGCGTTCTGCAGCGTGCAAAACACCCTCGATTTCCTACACGATGCAGTTAAAAGCAAAAAATCGCCACATGAATAGCCTAAATTAAAAACTGACAATTAAATAAAGTAAGACAATAAGAACCTACCACAACATAGACGGTCAAGTCCCCGACTTTCTCCACCTACAAAATGAGCCAGAAAAAGACAAGAGTTTGCATACTGTTTCAAAGGAAAAATACTCCAAATAAGCACAGTTCCCGTACCCTTTCAGTTCTTTGCTGCTCCTCTGCCATTTTTATACGAAAATGAGCTTTAAATACTGCTTTACGAAGAAGAAATTAACCCTAAACGCCTACTTCGCATGCACGTTTCCAACTACTCCCTGTAGCAAGATATCGCTTGGACCTGATCAAATGACTCACCGAAGGACACTACTTGGAATAGCCAATCACAGAGCAGTTCAACAGATGGTTGACCAATAAACACAAAAAGTTGTCGCGAGGACACCATTTTTCCGATGCTTGTTTACCATATATTGTTTACTATATTGTTTAAAAGATTTAAGTCTCTCATTCGAATCATTTATTGTTTACCAGATGAGGCGATGAATATCAAAACGCCCAGAGTTACATTTCTCATCTTTTAAAATTCACGCGGACGCTTTCTTAAAATACGGTAACGGAGCAGGTGCAAACAGAGGTGCAAACAGAGGTGCAGATATCACATCAGGGGTGCCAGACTGCTGGTGTTATGCGTCGCAGTTCTGAGGTTACCTTTTTCTAGGAGAAGACAAACAGGTGCCTACGGCTAGCGAAAATAGAGAGGTAAGGATGGAGGGTGGTGAGGGGGAGGGGGAGGGGTAGAGCATCCACTCCCACTCTCGCCAGTTCCCCTCGGTTTCCGTACGTCAAGTCGCGTAATTTACACGTGCGTGAAGATCTATAAGCGTGAAGATTAACTGAGTCGTTAAGGTGGCTCCGTAATTAATACAAGAGCTTTTAGCTGGGACAAAGTTTCCGTCATAACTTTTTCGATTTTAACGCGATGGCTGCGAAACTTTGCAAAGAACAACAGATATCATTCGGCAATAGTACGAAATATTTCGTTTTCATTGATGGGAAATATTTTTTGAGAAATTAGCGCTTAAAAGGACCCTAATGTTCAAAGAAAATCGCTTCTAGTAAAGAATTTTGCTGATATTTTTTACTGAAATTTCTGTTATCGGCTTTAATTGATATAATAAATATGCCAGAGGAATATCAGAAAAATCGTTGGAGCAGAAGTCCGTAACTAAAAGTCGCTCAAAATTCAGCTGTGAAATTGTTTTGAACTTTCAAAAATAAATTACTATCAGGAAGAAGGAGACACCAGTTTCAATTTTCGGGACAAGTAAATTCAGTGTTTGCTAATTCTGAAAACAGAAGCCGATTGCCTATCGCGCTATTCTTTAAAAGGTACTTTTCAGTTTTAGAAGCACTATAAATTGCTCCAAACTTTGTTCTGACGTCGAATGGACTTGTTCCTCGACATTTTTAAAATATCCCTTAGCAGTTTTGGTTCAAACTCCTGCTACATACATTTTGATCTATTGCAATGCATCCTCAACGGCTTTTCCTGCTGTACGTTGTTTCCAATTCAGGAAAAAGGTATTGGGATTGTAAGCTACCTTGTATCGAAGCTCAGATAGAACTGTCGAGCACCTTTGTTTATGACCAGAAAATGAGCACGAGCGGCAGCTCTGCGAGGAATTCGCACCTCAGCCAGGGGGGACGAATGACAATGATGCCCATGTCTGTGAACCGATCTGTGTAAACATGTATTGCAGAGCAAAACATAATACTCAAGAAAAAAATACCCATTCATTGAAGAAAGGAGTGACAAAAATTTCACAGTTGTAAATTTATTCACGGGCAGTATTTTTGCGATAATTTTATTTTGCACTGTGATGTTATTCGGTTCACAGGCATGGTCATCATTGTCGTTCGTCCCCCCTGGGTGAGGTGCGAATTCCTCGCAGAACTGCCGCTCGTGCTCATTTTGTAGTCATAAACAAAGGTGCTGGACAGTTCTATCTTAGGTCTCATACGAGGTAGCGTCCAATCTCAATACTTTTTTCCTGAGTTGGAAGCAACGAATAGCAGTAAAAGTCGTTGAAAATGCATTGCAATACATCAAAATGAATGCAGCAGGAGTTTGAGCCAAAACTGCCAAGGGATACTTTAAAACTGTCGAAGAACAAGTAATTCTACTTGAGAGCAAGGTTTGGAGCAGTTTATAGTGCTTCTAAAACTAATGAAGTACCTTTTAAAGAATAGCACGATAGGCAATCGGCTTTTGTTTTAAGAACTAGCAAACGTTGAATTTACTTGTCCCGAAAATTCATACTGGTGGCTCCTTCTACCTGATAGTAATTTATTTTTGAAATTCCAAAACAATTTCACAGCTGAATTTTGAGCGACTTTTAGTTACGGACTTCTGCTCCAACGATTTTTCTGAAATTCCTCTGGCATATTTATCATATCAATTAAAGCCGATACCAGAAATTTCAGTAAAAAATATCAGCAAAATTTTTTACTAGACGCGATTTTCTTTGAACATTAGGGTCCTTTTAAGCGCTAATTTCTCAAGAAATATTTCCCATCAATGAAATCGGAATATTTCGTATTATTGCCGAATGATATCTGTTGTTCTTTGCAAAGTTTCGCAGCCATCGCGTTAAAATCGAAAAAGTTATGACGGAAACTTTGTCCCAGCTAAATGCTCTTGTATTAATTACGGAGCCACCTTAAGTGCAATACAACTGTATTAAATTTTTTTGTGCAACGCGTCAACATGCATTTACCGGTATTAGATCAAAGTAAACACAGGATACCTGGTTTTGGGTTTTCAGTTTTCAGTTTTGTATGGTGTACTGTGAGGACGAGAAATCAGTAAAGCTTGGTTCTCATATCTCACCGACGCACTTGTGACTCTAATTCTCATTTCATAATAGAGCGGTTTTCACTTGACTGTCGTAAAACCAAAACTAAAGTAAATACACTAGCCAACCAAAGGGCGTAGTAAAACCAAAACTAAAACCAAAACCAATCCCTTTCGACAGTCAAGTGAAAACCGCTCTAGTAGCTATCTCATGAAGTACCGCTATGTCACAATGTCACAGTTTATAGAAGAACCAGGCCTACAAAGTCTCCACTGACAATTGCATACTTGAAAATCAAGAAAATAGAAGAGCAGGATTAACTCAGTCTTCGGGTTCATCTCTCAATCCAACTTAGAATGCATATTCTGCGATTTATCCTGTTCACTCACCTGCTCAGAGCCTTGGAAACTATTGGCTGCTGAACGTCCTGAACCTACTGAGCAAACCACTGGCTAGTAGCATATGTACAGTCGCGCCCTCCCCTCAAACAAAATTGAGGATTTTGTTTGAGGGGAGGGGCTACACAGGTTACCTAGGTAGGAAGCGGGTCGCAACTAAGAACGGCAACGCTGACCGCGAGAAAGGAGGACGACCTGGTTGTTTACCACAAACAAAGTTTCCGGAAAATTCGGTTGGAAAGTAAATAGAACACGACAGCTGTGTGCCATTTACATGGGCAAAGTGGTCGGTTCAAGGTTTGGGTTCAGGACTGTCAAGTTTCGTCCCTGAATCCGGCGTTTGCCGTTCGTACAAATCAGTTCCATTTCCCGAAAGACTGCCGCAAATATCTGGAAATGGAATGAAAGATGGCTTTGAAGAAATAGAACACGAATTTCCCGTGGGGAAAAAACAGGATTACCTTTTGGGATGTTTTAGCCTGGGACCAGGCTCTGCATTGGGGGAAAAAGGGAAAAAAATTGGCGAGCGAAGTAAGCTGACTCCAGACAACCGCTGGGATCGCTTTGCTCATCGATATTTATCCTGTTTGTCCCGGTTTTTTCCTTCCTCCCCGCCGCCCCCCCACCCAAGGAGCCTGGTCCCAAGCTGGGGATGTTTCGTTCTTCCCGGAAATTTTCCGCTAGTACGACCCAAAGAGTCGTGTTCCATTTTACCTTCCAAAAGGATTTTCAGGAAACGTATTGTAAATTCATAAGCAATCGACTTTTCGGGTCTAGTTCCGGCAGTGGAAAATTTCAGGGGAGCAACGAAATTTCTGAAGAGGTAGTTCTATCGTCCCTTGAATGCAAACACGACAAACATAAAACAACTTTTCGGGACCCCCGACGGACATCGTCTGTGAACGCCCAGAAATTTTGCCCCACATCAAAAAGATAATATGCATTGAAAAAAAAAAACCAAACAAGCGAAAATCGTGATGGAAATCCAAAACCATCTCACTTTTGACAATAATGATATTGAATTTTTGTCCTCTCGATGGCATTTGTCATGGAAGGGTCACATTCTTAGCGTTTCAAGAAAAATATCAAAATCAATAGACATAATTTACAAGTCAAGTTTGTGCCCTCTTTACCTACTTTTTTACCATAGCCGTCCATTTTTAATACCCTTAGTTAATATATTGTGTTTCAGCAAGAGCCATAATGGTTTCAGTTCCAGTGACGTAGCCAGGGCAGGTTTCCAGGGATTCTGACTTTATTTCAAGCAAAAAAGAAAATCATGTGCTATATCAAAGGATACAGTATCATTGTTATAACGAAGATCAGTGAGAGGTCTCCAAGGTAACGTTGCTCAGGATGAAGTTTTCTTATTGATATTCTCATCAATACTAATAGCACTAGTAGAAGCTCTGCGTGTCAAGTGAGCGGCTTGTCACAAATTATGTGTCCTGATACAACCAGTTCTACGTAACTTTAATTCTTCACTCCCTTGAAAGTACATTTCTTCTCATGTTCATATTTTACAATTCTGTACTCTGTTCTACACTTAAAGAGTTCATGGACATCAATTCGCGTAAAAATTTCGATTATCTATACTCAATCTACACACTCGATCAGCTCCACGACTCCGAACGACTACAAAGATAAGTTCTCAGATCACATGACGAGTCCCGCCACAATGACGCAATAATTTTCTCACACGGCTGTTTGCAAATCAATTGAGAAAATTATCTGGAACTTGGATGCTGACGTCAGCAGTAGCATGGCAAACAGCCATTACACTGTACAGCATGGGTACCACCACAGCCAGAAAAGCAGTCACTCTAAAGCCCTCTATGGTCGACAGCAGCTGCACCAAGGAATACAGAAACGCTGAAGGATTAGTATAAAACAGCACTCACAATTTCCTGGATAATCTGAGATATACACCTACTTTGGCCTTAGTAACGATGCTTTTCCATTCTCTGCTTAGTCC